GCTATATCGCGTCCATACCCTCTCCTCACTTACACGGGCAGCACATGTCTTAATATAGATCGTCCCGAGACGACCTACCAGTGCAGTAGCGGAAGTACCCTGTCAAATGCTCGGGCCACATTAAACTCCAATCTCCTCCGATCCAGCGTAGATAGTACTTCCTTACTCCTAATCAAAATGATTATCACATAAATCCCATAAGAATGATATAATAACACACAGCAAATATGAAAAGTAGATGAAAAGGAAAAAAGCGAATGAATGAGATCCTCGTGACAGTTTTTCGGGAATCCTTCCGGGGTTTTGGGATTTCGGCGAAAACAGCTATTTGGCGACTCCGTGGGGATTTTTGACCCACTAATTCCCGGGTTATTTTATTAAATTTAAGTGGTTGCCAATTAGGAATTAACTCTAAAGAGCCTATTATTTATAAATAAAAACGTGGTTTAGAAAAGCCGTTGGAAAATTTTAATCGTCCGATATGTTTATTGTTTCCTTTTTTCTTTTCTAGGATTTTTGCCATTTCATTCCGCATCCTTGCTTCTCAACCTCATTCTAACCCATATCACCCTTAAAGTTACCGGTGTTAAGTGAGACGGTGGATCTAGCCTAAACCTCGGCGTAGGTGTGCATCCATCCTGAAATTAAACATTTACTACCCAACGCAAGCCTTATTAATTTTTATAAAGTTAATTGAAAGTTGTTAATCCAGAGGTAAAAGAGCTATGGGGATTTTTGACAAGGGAAACAAAATATGGACAGATGAATTTTTGAGTACTGTTATATATCTCAAGATAAGAATTTGTAAGTTAGTGATTATTATGCGACGCACAGACAAAGTAATGTGCTGAGAGTCCATCACTTGTTTATTTAGTATACGGGGATCGGTCATGAATGAAGTGTGTTTATTGACAGATAAATATTGGCCTCGGCGAGAAATTCATTTATTGTTTTGCAGGCCCCAATATATTTTTTTTTTCAATTTATGTTATACCTTTGGAATATGAGGGGTTATCATATAGAGTTTCCAACGCCAGATGCAGCTAGTCAGTGTTAAATAGCTGGCTTTATTATTCCGTGTTACCCGATATCAATACTTTATGCTTGACCGTTGATCTTGTGGTACTTGGAGTATTTATTTACCCATAGTGTGCAAAATATTATCTTATTTCTTTTTAAATTGATTGGTTTGGCGGATTTGTTGTCCATTTTTTTGTTTGAGATGTTAATGTTTATAGGATCGGGGTTTTGGATTTCCGCACTTTTTCACTGCTTATATAGTGGCAAAAACAAAAAGAGTGATTATTTATATATGAATTAGCTATACTATTAATCTGTTTAACTAATATTCCTATTTAATAATATTATTCAAACGATCACCATTGCATCAATACCCAACAACCACCCAATAATGTTAGTGACCACGCAACTATCACCACCTTGTAGTAAATAATGTATTACAATCTCTTTTTACATGAACACCACTCTTTATTTATTTTTTCTACACCTGTAGGCCACTAAAGTTTCAAACTCTAGAAAAAATAGTTAAAATTTAAAAGGCTCTGATCGTGGAGGAGTTATTTTTTAGTTACCAAATATCTTCTGTAAGGAAAATTATCACGATTTTTAATTTTTGTATGTACTAACATTTTTCTGCCAATATTTACTATCCAAATACTCTAAATATTTAAATATCTTTTTTGAAAATTAGCCTTAAAATGTTATATATTATTTTCCCATTAGAAATTGTGTTGTTACTGATCAAAACCCCAATAAAAATCTGTTTTTTTTGAATAAAATGTGATTTAAATATATATTATTATTTCATGTCTTATAATTAAGAGCTGGTGTGGCGTTCATATTTGGCTCGACTTCTTCGAACAATTGGTGCGCCAGTTAGGATTCTCTTGAACCCTAAACAATAAACTTTTGTTTAAATTTTACACTGTAACTCAAAATATGTGTGATTCAGCAAATTTTCTCCCAATATTTTTAGTTCTACGCTATTTATTTTCTCTACTCGTATAAAACAACTTATATCCTTCATCTTTTTATTACAAAGCACACTCCGTGACACTTTATATATCAATATAATCCTTTTTTCTATATTCTTATTTGGTTTGGTTATTAAAAATCTCATTTTGTTAAAAAACAGTTTTGCTAGGAATAAAAAATTTTGACAGCAAACCCATTATCTTCCACTCGGAAGATCATTCACAACTTAAAGCTTGACATTTCATAAGTGGTGCAAAACTCATAATCTCTGAAAACGCGTATCTGTGTGAACCAGAACTCTCTATTCTTTAAAAAATTAGGAATAAACAAACCCAGTCACGCAACCTGGCGGGAGGTAACTGAAACACAAATAAAAAAAAAAATCGCAAAATGGTCCTCTTCACGGTCAAAGACAGGTGCACTTGTCAACAGGAGAGCTCAAAAGGAGCAGGCAAAAGAAACAAAGTGTTCGACAGGAATTAACACGGAGACTAAAGAGGAAAGCATATCTAGCAGCTCGCAAAATCTCTAGCAACGAGAAAACCAACTTATCAATGGCTCAACATAAATAACATACAGGTTACGAAAAAGGAATAGCAAACACTTGGCTCAATAAATATTATATGATCCTCTATACTTAAAGGACATTTATGTGACTCGTATGGAGTGTGTATTAACTTGGGCATTAACTCCACCGCAATGAGCTTTGCGTGGATGTCAATCCCTCCAAAACAGGATTCCTCTTGTCTCTATTCAAGAGCAGCTTTGGTTCGGTCGCTTTATCTGATTTCATTTTTACTGGATAGGTAAGCTCGTTTTTAAAAGGATTTCAAAAGTTTTAACGGGTATATACAGAATCTGTTTGTCTAAATACATTTGAAAAGAACATAATAATAAGTGGTAGCACTACAAGATCAAAAATTTCTCATTTTTCCTCATATGCTAATGTGCCGCAGTTTAATGGGACCAGTTTTTTATTGGTATTCATTTTTAAACAAGGTTTACAATTAGATTATCCTGTAATGTTATGTGGACACACAAAAAAAAACATTGCTTCTTCACTAAATTCTGCAGTCCGTATTCAATGTGAATACATATAACTACTTTTGATACACACAGTGAAGAAATGGTGTTAGTCATTCACCCTAAGGTATATATTAATTCTGCCCAAGTTGCCTCCACGTAGCTCTCAGGAATGATTGCTGCTCCCGACCAATATCACGAATTGAGGCTTCTGGCAACATACGAAGAACCAGGTTAGAAAGATTGTTAAACGTGGTGTCCACAATTTCAGGGCCTTGAGATTGGGAGAATGTATGATACTTTGAATATGTGTAATACATGATATCCAATTCACAATACCATCGCGATCATTCTATCCCAAAGGTGTGGCAAGAAGTCGACCAAAATTTCAGCACCTAGATTACACGGATGACTGCGATGCCCTAGTAAACATACTGCCAGATTGATAATAGGTTGCGTGCTAGTGTTAAAAATTAATCCCGATATCACTTAATGTGATATCACCCGGCACGCGAGGAAATAAAAAGTATTATTGTAATACGATTTAAAATGTATTGCTCTATACATCGAACTCTTTGATTATCTGTGCGATCGTTCGTATTGTCCAGTTGAACAAATGCGCCGATTCCTTAGGGTATATGGCTCCACTCAACATGTTTGTGCTGGGACGCATGGCCATGTGCCAACAGCCTTTTGGATTGCCCCCTGGAATCAAATTCCACTACATATAGCATACTCTGGATATAAATAGAAAACTTAGAATGCACTTATTTTTTTTTACTCCCTATTCTTTGGAGTCAGAAAAGTTCCGGTGCAGTGATAGCATTGCTTTTATAGATTTCAGTGCAAACACTTTACAGGTGGTGGAAGAATTGGGCCATTCCATACATGCCGATCCACAGAGCGACAACCATTTTCCGCGGTTTTAACAGTCTCGGTAAATAGTTTATCTCGTGGTCCCCAGAACGAAAAAGAAGGAGGAATATGGAATATGCCAATATAATGGCACAGCCATCACTTGGCAGCATTAAAAGACTTAAAGGGGTGGGAATCGCATTTAAAAATGTTACTATCAAACAATAAAATCTGTTTTTGAAAATGTTAAATTATTATTTTTCAAATAAAATGTTACTATCAAACAATAAAATCTGTTTTTGAAAATGTTAAATTATTATTTTTCAAATAAAATGTTACTATCAAACAATAAAATCTGTTTTTGAAAATGTTAAATTATTATTTTTCAAATAAATAGAGCCTGGGGATATTTGGTAAGTTTGACAATTGGAGTAGGATCTAAACCTAACAAAAGCTTGTTAAAATTTGTAACAAAAATGTTAAACAGAAATTTCCAATTTTTAGTACGCTATTTATTTATTTCCAAAAAATAACTTATCTTTAAAAAACATTTTTCAAATAACTCCTTTTTTTATTTTCTTATTGTTTGGTATAAAAAATAATAAAAAAATTGCAGGAATAAAAAAAATTGACAGCAACCCATATCTCCACTCGGAGATTCATTCACAAACTTAAAAGCTTGACAATCAAGCAAAACCAAATTCCAAAGGAGGGACTGAACCAGAACTTTTATTTCTTAAAAAATTAGGAATTAAACAAACAAATCCCAAGCTAGTAACTTGAACAAAAAAAAAAAAAAGAAGTTACTCCTCAGGGCTTAAACAGGGCAGGTTCCAACAGGATGAGCTCAAAAGGAGCAAGCAAAGAAACAAAGTCGACAGATTAACCGAGACAAAGAAGCAGCAGCAGTAGCAACGAGAAACAAACTATCAATTGCCTCAACAAACAACATACAGGACGAAAGAAACAACACTGCATGAATTTTTGATTTCATTCTCTAAACTGATGTGACTCGTTGAGTTTACTGCATAACCCCAATGAGCTTTTCTGAGTCAATCTCCAAACAGCTTACCAGCAGCTTGGCTCATTTACGGTAGCTAAACCTTAAGATCAAATTTACGCTCAACTTATTCAATTATGAGACAATATGTGCACTCAAAAAAATTTCATTTCAAAAATCCAGTTAATGGACAGTTTTTATGGTATCATTAAAAAGTTCAAAAATTGTAATGTTTGAAACACAAAAAAACATTGCTCTTCACTATTCTGCTCCCGTTCATTGTATACTCTGAACAGAGTGGTTGAGCTCCTAAATTTTTTCTGCACAAGTTTCTTCCACGATATCAAGGATTGATGGCGACAAAAATGAGCTCTGGCAACATACAACAAGGTTAAGGAAATGTAACAGATGCAAAATCAGGCCTGATTTGATGTTGCCTAATAGGTAAGATCTTTGGGATCCTCAATAATCTTTGCCAAAGTTTGCAAGAAGGAAGACAAATCAGCACCATAGATTACACGATGATCTGCTGTAACATTTACCTGCAGATTGCATAGTTGCAGTGTAAAAAATATATTTCAAATCCAATCACTTTGAACACGCTTGGAAAAAAATTATAATTAACATGTTTGTTACCTGAATCTGGTTCTTCATGCCAATACGGCCATCCTTGGTAGCCACAACAGTTGGCTGAGATGCTCCAACAGCCATGATTGCCCCCTGGATCAATCCAAATAAATATTGGATAAAAAACAGCTTGCATAAAATTTACAGTTCTGGCAGAGAATCCAGCAAGTGAGGATGCTTATAGATTGAAGTAAACACTTACAGTTCCAGGTGGCAGAATGGCATCAAACCGATCCACGCCAAACATTCCAAGGTTAGAAAGTGTAAAAGTACCTGCCCAGAGAAAAAAAGAAGAGAAAGAAGCAAATAAGAACAGAATCACTTTGCAGCATAAAAGACTTCAAGTGGAATCATTAAAAATGCATAAATTATCACAAATTTCAGCACATTCTATCAGTGTCAGACTAAAGCAGTCATCATAAGCAAGAATCAGGAAGAATTTAGATCACAACAGCTTTAAAACCTCCAGCCACATGTCCATCATCACTTGTAATGGAAAATAATGATGTCATAAATCTAGTGGCAGGATATAATATGCCTAAAGTTCAGGGCAGTATATTAATAGCAGGGAACTGGCACACGAATTAAAATAATAACTTTAGTTTTAGAAAGCTTAAATTGCAAAAGCTAGCAGCTCATTTCAATCAGGCTTTGTCAAAGGCCAAAACAGAATCGCCAAATGAAAGCACAGATACAAGCATTATGGAACTAAAGTCTGAAAACAATGAAGAAGCTCCTAAAAGTTTGTTTCTTGTGTACATCATGATCCTTCTCTGAACTTTTAAATCCACATGGCCTTCAAAGCTATGCTGTATGTTGACCATGCAGGCCTCAATGTTCTTCCACCCTTTTGAATTTTAAGTTATATGGACCAAGTGATTTAGCGGATTGGAGTGGGACAAAGCTAAATCTAGAACCAACACATGATAAATATCCAATTTGTCCAATGGGACCAAAGGCTTAGCATATTTAATGAAGCAGCTAATATACTACTCATTTATAATATGGCATTTGGAATACAAAATAACAGCATAGGCTTAGAAACCAATGATGGAGGACCTACAATACTTAGGCTTCATTTGGGCTTAATGCTGTTGGTATGATGAATGCCTTTTCAAGAACAAAGAAAGCCGATATTTTACAACAACCAATACTATATTCAGAATTGCAGTTTGCAAAGAAGTAGAATGAATATATAAAGAAAACATGCATTTAATAAATTACCTATATTGTATTCATGAGGTTGCAGCTGCTTGGCCCGTGCCCTATCAACTAACTCCTTCCACTTTCTTGATAATGAATAAATGTCCACCTGAAATATAGACGTGAAAGAACCCAATTCAATGAACAACATATAACACATCAAAGCTACAGGACAATGCAAAGCAAATCAATTAGAACCTTATCAGCATCTTGAAGCACTGGTGTAATCAACCCACCATCCATGGCCACAGCAACAGCAATATTTATGCTACTATTATATGTAAAGCTTTTACCATCTCTACTACTAGAATTTATTACAGGATGTTTAACCAATGCAAGAGCTGTAGCCTTAGCAAGCAAGGCCGTCATGGTCACTCCCTTAGACTTGATCTGATCACACAAAAGATGAAAAGTGATATTAATTACGTATAAATCCCAGATAAATGAATCTATGCAGCGAAAAACCATCTATTAGACATCTAGTGAACTACATTATTGAATATCGATAGCTGTTCTTTTAGCATATGGTGTTAGCTTCTAAGCAAATTATTAATCATCTAGCAACAACTTATTTGAAAACTATGCAACTGACAATTACTCAACTTATTAAAAAGATGTTAGATTCTATGGGGAAATCAATGTAAATAAAACAACCCATGGCTAATCATTCTACAGAGAGTAAAATCAAACTCAGAATAACAAACAATGGCCTATAAACTGTCAATCTAAAGCATGAACCGAAGAAGCATTTTTTACCTTCTTGTAAAGATCATCAAGCGCATCAGTTACAATAGTGTAACCAACTCTAAACGTAGGAATTGCCAAACTATCTACCATGTTCCTACTAACTGCTCCTTGTATTGTCGTAAATGGCACTACCGTCCCCAACTCAATCCCCGGCGTAGGAGTTACGGTGGTCTCCACCTTGGAACTCACAGCAGGCACCACATCAGCGGCTGCAGCAGCTTCAACATCCTTCGCCACAATTCTACCCATAGGTCCACTCCCAACTATTCTCTCCAACTCCACCTTCAATTCCTTCGCAAGCTTCTTTGCATACGGCGATGCCACCACTCTTTTTCCTCCCTCTGACGCAGGGTGGGCCGATGAAGCCACAACCGCCGCCGCTTTTGGAATTGCTGGTACCACCTGCTGTGGACTATTCTCCAAAGCACTACCACTATTGCTATTAGATTCAGGCGATGACGGCGGTGAGGAAGAAGACGACCCAGCTTTAGACTTGGCCTCTGCAATTTCCTCCTCTGTCTCAGCCAACAAAGCAATAGCAGAACCAACAGAAGCAACTCCACCTTCTTCAACCATTATAGCAGCTAAATAACCATCATAAAAGGTTTCAACATCCATATCAGCCTTATCAGACTCAACAACGACAACACTTTCACCTTTGGATAGCTTATCGCCCTCTGATTTAACCCAAGAAACAATCTTTCCTTCAGTCATGGTGGAACTAAGTGCAGGCATGAAGATCTCTCGGATCTTTGCTTGCACTTGAGTGGTTCTAAAACGATTACTCGAAATGCGAGTCACCCGAGAGAAATTGGAGTTCCGGGGAAGAGAGGAGGGAAGGAAAGTGGTTTTCAGAAGCTGAGCCATTGGAAAAAATTGAACTATAAAGCAACGAGAGAGGAAAAGAGAATAGGGGTTGGAGAGAAGAGAAAAAAGATGGCAATTTTAAGGTAAGCTTTTGTGTTTCGATTCAGTAGGGGTGTTCTTGAAAACATCGAAAGAGGGCGGAGGTCTCAACCACCTTACCGGTGGAAGTGAGAGATGATTTGTTTAATATGGTTTCGGTGCATTTTATAGTCCTACGATGAAAAGTTGGGCCGTTTGGGCAATTTGAAATTTTTGATTTAAGTTTAGAGGACAAATGATCTTTTTTTTTTTTTTTTACAAATACATTTTAAAACGTTAACAAATATATAAAATTCAGCTTTAAAACGTCACTACTTTAACTGTACGACATTGGAGAGACAATTGTTGTACCTCTAAAATTAGGAATTTTTATTGTATTGCAAACATATTCGTATTGCTAATAATAATTTTTAAAATATTTAATTTTTATATATAAAATATCGAGTTAATATATGTGGTTAGCTTTTAAATTATTAATAAATATTTAATTGGTCTAATTTTATAAGTTAAAGTGTTTAATATATAATTTTAAAGTATTCAATTTATGTAAGTTTATAAGCCGAATTATTTGATAGGTGAAGATAAAATAATTGAATATATCGTAAGATTAAAATAACAAAATTATTAATATAATTTTTTATTAGCACCATTTTAAACCGACATGGAATGCACTCTTATATTTTTTATAGGAGAGTTATTATTTATATCTATATAACATACTTAGACGTGAGTTCAGAGGAATAATGAAATTTCAAAAATATCCTAAAATGTTTTTAATTATAATAATAATTAGTAAAATTTTTACAATTTAATTTGATATAATCTTTAAAAAGTTAATGTTTAAAACACACATATATAACTAAACCATTTGAAAAGTTTAATTATTTAACAATTTTTTAATTATTCCGATGGTGTTGCGTACATTTTGTACATCAATTTCATTTATTGTTAAGTTGTTAGAAAATTCAAGAAAAAAGGGGCTAAATGACTTATCGTTTTGTTAAATTCAAGTGAAACGACTTGTCAGCCAACTAAAAAAAAACCGCTTACACCAAATAAGAAAAAAGAAAAATCTCTCTCTTCAATCGCTCGCTAGAAAATCCTCTCTGCTTCTTCATCTTTTTCTCTCTTTAATAGCTCGCTTGAAATTGGAAAGATCTTCCCTTTTTATCTGCGGCTCATTATCGGTATGGAAACCAATTTTCTTTCAAAAACTGTTGCTATTCTTGAAACTTTTGAATTTTAGGGTTAAGGAAAAATGGGATTTAATTTAATCTTGATTTTAATTGTTCTTTCTAATTATCTTCCTTTTAAGTCTTGATCTGGATTGAGTGATTTAATTTTCTGATAGTGTTTGATTTGGTTATCATGGTGATTAGTTCAAGGTTTTAAATTCTGTTCCTATTCATTGCTGGAACAATCTCCAATTTGTCTTGAAAACATGTATCTAATGGGTCTGTTTGTGTCAAATATTTAGGGTTGTTGAATTAGTGGTTTGAGTTGATATAAGGAGTCAAATTTTTAGGGTTGTTGAGTTAATGGTTTGAGTTTATATAAGGACATTCAGTTGCTACTATTAATGTTTGAATTTAAGGATTATGCTAAAAAGGTGAATGTATTGTACAGAAATGGCTTTTCTTTTTTTGGGTTTTCATTTGTGTGAACATGTTCTTTTGTTTGAATTGGTAAGTGAGTTCAATTTCTTAGAATATATATAGACTGGTTAACTTAAACTTGGAAACTTGAATAAAAAAAATGAAATAGTAAAAATGATAAATTTAGACTTGTTGATTATTTAATGAAATTTTTGTTTTCAGTTTTGTTCCAAAGAAATTTTTAATGATAAACTTGATGCTAGTTAAGTGCTTATCAAGTAGCTTGTCATCACCATCTTAGTTCCTCTGTATTTACCAAATTATACACCAGTGAAGAAGGGAAGAGTTTGACTTTGGTATAATTTTGGTATTATATTTTATGTTAATTGACGTTATTCCATTTTTTTAAAAAAGTGTTAGTTGATGTTATGAAATGAAATTGATTTTAAAGGGAATCTATGGCTACCATTTGTTTGGTTTCCTCATTTTAGTGTAGGCTTTCTTTGAAGCAAATAGAGATTTATAGTGGTTTTGTTTATTATGTGGTTTAGTAGTATTCTCTTCTTTTTGTCAGTGATATCTTACAATTATGTACGTTGATTCTCTTGAGCACATATGCAATCTTATGATTATGCAATAAAAGCCTTTTTGCTGTCTACATAAAAGTGCATATTTTTTCTTATTTTGGTTTTACTTTTTTGATGTTTTATATTTTTGTCACGCTGATCAAGTGCAGCATACTATGGAAACAGGTGTAATTTTGACATTGAGAATAAACTGACATGATAAGTCTGATGTTTTTGGCAGTTTAGTTAGTGGTAAACTGCTCAAATTCTTTGGTGAGTCACATGGATTACTTATTTCATGAGTAGAGTTGGTATATAACTGAAGTTGAACTAAGTATAAAAGAAACATGTGTATAGTCCTATTAGGTGGAACATGTAAAATGAGAACAGCCAATGGAAAGAAAAAAAATAAATACATAAATGCGCGATCCTTGAGACTGAGTACCAAAGTTTTGTTTCTTAATGCTGGGCACCTAATGCACAACATGTTCAAAAGATGAATGTTGCGGTTATGTGAATTCTTAGATGGATGCATGGCCACACAACGTTGGATAAGATTAGAAATGATCACATTAGATAAAAGGCCAAGTAGCGGAAGTTGGAGATAGAATAAGAGGAGGAGGCCTGCGATGATATGGTCATGTATTGTGTAGATTCTCACATGTCTCGGTTCGCAAACATGATACTTTCGTAGTGGAGGATGCTAAAAAGAGAAGAGGTTGACCTAGAACCGCTTGGAGGGAAGTTGTCACTAAGGATCTGTGTTTTTTGGGTATTAATGAGGATATAGCTATAAACAAAATAGAATGAAACCTAAAGATTCATGTAGCAAATCTTAGTTAGTTGTTGCCTATGTCTTGCATTGTTCTATTTATTAATATATCAAGTGTTTCTAAAATTGCTCTTCAAAATTTTTTTTTTTACAAAAGGTATTTCAAAATTTTTTTTGACTTATGTTTTGCTTTGCATGGACTTTAACCTAGTCAGGGTGGATATTTGAAATGAAGGATTCATATAGCCAGTTCAACTAGTTTGAGACTAAGGCTTGGTTGTTGTTGTAAAGTTGCAACACCACAATGCTCCGTAGAACTACCAAGTTACACCATTTCATTGGCATAGGACTTTTTGAAGTCAGTAGCTTATTGATTTTACCTTTAAACCAGTCGTGTGGCAGAATTAAAAACTACTAGTAGAATCTTTTACTAGTGTGGAGGGTCCTAATTCTACTTCCCAACTTCTTTACAAGATTCTTGAACTTTTACATGATGATTTACACTTATAGCTTTTCTTTTTTCCTTGTCTGAACAGTTTATAGTTCTAATAAGGTTGCAAACGCTTTAATTTTAATGAACTAATGACCAGTTTTTCCTTTTCTAAAAAGTCAAGCTTGATCATTTGAATACATATCATTTAAATTTTTAGATTGACCTTTGCGACCCGTTAGTTGATGACATATTACGTTTGTCAGAGGGCTGTTCAAGATGAATTGTTTGATTGTTTCTGCTTGCAAATAAGTATCTTGAAACTTTTGGATTGATCTTTGTGACCTGTTAGTTTGATGATATATTATGTTTGTCAGAGAGCGGTTCAAGGTGAAATATGTGATTTTCTGCCTTGAAAATGACCAATGTGTCATTTTTTTCAATTGACAAGTTTTTTGCATATTCATATAACATTTCTTAGTTGTATTTGTTAGCAATGCCATAATTGGCCTGAAAACTTATATGTGATTGTTTCATGCTTTGAACGGCATGAAAGAGATATTGTAGAACAGCATGAGCTGTTTTATCTGAAGCTTGACATTTGGGCTTGTTTTGCTTGGTATGTTCTTAGGATGAAGATGAACTGATCTTAGCTGGGATGTGAACTATCAAGGCAAACAACTGCATTTCAGGCTTTTTCTAGTATTTCTGTAGATTTCTGGGAGCAGAAACTTATAATTCATTAATAATAAACGTACAGAATGAAATTACTTTTTAATTAGTTTATTTGGTTTTGAATTAATAATAACCACATGTAACTTATTTAGTTTTAGTATTACTTACATATTTTGTTCTTTATATTTATTTTTGGCCTCAGTATTGGTTTACTTGTATATGGGTTGGAGTACGTTATGATCTTTTATTCCTGGAGTTGCTTGTGCTTAAAGTGGTAATTGCGTATTCTTTTGGCAGTTCCTCTGTTATTTCTCTTCGATACCAAATTAACAGGAAGCATCTGTTAATGGATGGACAAAACCAACCGCTGGGGGAATTGGATCTGGAGACTGATGATCAGACAGTAGAATTCGATCCGTCAAGTAGTGTTCTTGACCTCACCAGTTTTCAGCTTCATGATCTTGGCTCAGTCGAGTTATCTCCGAGTCTTACTGAGTTGGACTTGACCTCAAATCGCTTATCGAGCTTGGACTCTAGAATTTTGCATCTCTCTAACCTGAAAAAGCTTTCTCTTCGGCAGAACCTTATTGATGATGCTGCCATTGAGCCCCTTTCTAGTTGCGAACCCTTAGTGGGCCTTGAGGTAACTTCATTTTAACTTCTTGTTTGGTCATGGTTCTGTTTGGTTGCTCTGGGGAAATGCAGGAAAAAGAAATGAACTTAATATTTTGGATTTCATGTTAAACACCACCACCCAGTTCAACAAAAGTGATCTTCCTCTAATATATGTCAACTCAACTGGAATTGTTTTAACGTGTTTCAGTCAAATTAAACAGAAGATTGCAAGTTAGCTAATATTGATAGAAGTTTTCAATTTTTCTATTTATTTTGCTTTAAATTTTGAGTTGACTTTAACTAAATATTTGACTGCCCAGATGCTATATTAAAAACATGTTTACTTTTACCTACGGGGTGTGGCTCAGTTGGCAACGCAGGCTGGGCATGTGGGAAGAGTTCGCTGGTTCAATTCCCACTAAACACACCTGCAGGGAGGGGTAAAGAGCCTTAACTGTAATTATGCCCCGAGCCGGTCCCTGGTAATAGGGTCCTTGGTTTACACCAAAAAAAAAAGTGTTTACTTTTGATTGATTTTTAAATCATGATTTCTTTTCTTTTGTGAGAAATGCCATAGAAATTGACGAACTGTTTTCTTTGCAGGAGCTGGTGCTGAGGGATAATAAATTAATTAAAATACCTGATGTTAGCATATTCAAGAGCCTCTTAGTTTTTGATGTTTCTTTCAATGAAATCAGGTCCTTGCAGGGACTTTCCAAGGCCTCCAATACTCTGAAGGAACTCTATGTATCTAAAAATGAAGTTACTAAGATGGAGGAGATTGACCACCTTTATCAATTACAAATTCTTGAACTTGGTTCCAATCGATTACGGGTCAGTACTTATACCAAGTGTCTGTCTTATTCAAAATTACGAATTAGGGATGTGGCTTTTTCATGTCCAAATGCTCATATGTTTGCATGTGAATGATGGAGTAAGACATACATGCAAGCCATATCCTCTTGCAATTGGGTAGGGAAATTTTGGGATTAAATCCAACACGGATGGATGTTTTCCTTTAGAAATTAGAATTTTTTTTGAGGATGGTCTCAATCTAAAAGCAATTACTTTGGTGTTCCAGGTGATGGAGAATTTGAAAAATTTAACAAATTTACAGGAGCTGTGGCTGGGACGGAATCGTATCAAAACAATTAACCTTTGTGGGCTGAAATACATAAGGAAGCTTAGCTTGCAAAGCAATCGCTTAACTTCTATGAAAGGATTAGAGGTATTTTCTCAATCATGTTCTTGGGTAGCGGGGAAGAACACTCATGGTATTATCATAGAAATAACAGTCTAAATGTGGTTTTTCCTTTTTCTTTTTTCTTTCCCTTTTCACTATTCTGCATTCCAGGAATGTGTTGCTTTAGAAGAGCTATATTTAAGTCATAATGGTATTGCTAAAATGGAAGGCCTTTCAACCTTGGTCAAACTCTCCGTTCTGGATGTATCATCTAACAAGTTAACTTCAGTGAATGACATTCAGAACCTGACCCAGTGTGTGTCGTCCTTCTTTCTGTTCTTGGGATTATGTACTCATATATACAGTTGTCAATCTCACTTCTCGATTATATCTCTGCTTACAGCTTAGAAGATCTATGGCTTAATGACAACCAGATAGAATCACTTGACGGAATTGAAGAGGCCATTGCTGGTTCAAGAGAGAAACTAACCACAATCTACATTGAAAACAATCCATGTGTATGAAATCTGCATTTTCAAAAACCTAACTGGTTCAAAGCCTCATTGTTGCATTCTGATCACAGGCTAAACTATAGTAGATTTATCATCTTTTTTAATTATTTAACATATTACGGATTTTTTTCTTGCTTATTGTCTTGTTTTATTGGTGATCATGTCATTAGGTAAGGCAATATGGTGTGATCTTTTTCATTAGAAAGCTCTATCCGCATAAACATACTGAGCTTGATAGTAATATTCTATCATGGATTCTTTTGATGGAACCCTCTTCCACATTGAATTTTTCTTAAGGGTAGCTAGTTTTATGCTTGTTATCCGGATAATATGATGTACGATATCTTATATCCTAAACCACATTTGAAGCTCTATTTTCTGGAATGGGGGTTCTCTTCGATGAGTCTTTTGTTATTGCAAGATAGGGTGCATATATGACACAAGGCTGTTTGTTTATTTGTTTTTTTGTGATTGTGCATATTCATGTGTGTTAGTGGCTTTGACTTTTTGGACATTCTCTGTCATGTCACTTAACCAGTTACAAAGCCATTTAAGAAAAAGTATTAAAATATAGTGTGGTGAAATTAGTTGTGAATGATCAATGTCCTGTTTAAGTCTTAGCCACGAAGTGTTGATATTTAAAAGTTAGTACTTGAGAATTGCAGTAACATCTGTTATGTTTAAGAATAGTATCTGGTAAAATTCACACGTAGTACAGCCTCCAAGAAAATTGTGAGACCAGTTAGATGTTCTAATCATATTTCTTTTGGCAGTTTTATTGAAAAGCGAGGGAAGTTATATTTTATCTCATTTCCTACTGTTTTCTGATAGGAGCATGTCCCTATTCTGCAGTAAATGCAGCTCATTAGAAATTATAAGTTTTTAGTTATTTGGTATAACTGATAACCTAGTTTGATGTCAATTGAAAGGAAATAATGTGAAATGCATGATATTTTTCTCTTTGTTTGTTTCCATTTATCATTCATGAGAATATTAATTTCATTAGCCTACCCAAAAATGCTTGTTCATACTGCAACAGTACTTCTGCATTTCAAGTCATGATAAGAATCATAATAGTCATTTGCTTTGATACTTTAAAAGCTTGTCTGATTGCTTGAAAGGGAAACTACTGCTGTTTTATTTACTTGAGAGGGTTTTTCCTTTTAATTTTGTTATTCTTCTTTGTTTGTTGCAGACAAGATCTCCAAATTATGGCATCATTTTGAGACAGATTTTCCCTAATATTCAGCAAATTGATTCAAACGTATTTGCTTAGAAATTTCATACTTCCAGGTTCCTTTTTGTCATTCCGGTTATACCCAGAAAGTCAAAACTCTGAGAGTATTACTTCTTAATCATATTCCTCTTTGTGGTTGATTACACTAACAGAACATTCCTTTTAATATGTTCTCACATATTTTGTTTGCAGGTCAAGTTTTGGTATAAGATAGTATTGCAAGTATGCCACTGATGTGAAAAGCCATGCATGCTTCGATTGGGGATGCAAGTTGCTGCTGCTCCAATTTATCGATTTGTTTTTGCTGTTGTGTTTTCCTTCCATTTCTGTTCGGAAGTAATATTTTCAAATATGAATATTCTTGCCTATATTTGTTAGCTTCAGATATGTTAGTAGATGAGGTTGAGTGCAAGGACTAATTTTCAACTTAAAATACAAATTTCACTTTATGATGTTCTTGCTGGAGGTTTCTTTTGTTCATGGAATTAATTTATCCGAATGATAGACATTGTTACGAAGTTTGGAAGTCTGCTATTGAGTTGATGTCTGAGTTTTGATCGTGCACTGACGACTCCTGCATATTATTAATAGTTGAGCGATCAAGTAGGCCTGAGAATTTTGCTTGTTGATTCTTGGCCATGCAAAGATATGTTTCATGCAACGACCTCATGTAAATGATAGTCCATACAAAAGTTATATTCGACCATTTAAAAATGGTATTCGGCCATATTTATATTAATGGAATGGAATGCAAAAGCCATGCAAGGATCAAATGTCCTGGAAGTACACAAAGTTATTGAATTGATAGGTGATTAGTACAACATTTGAAAAAATAGGTTCACATTTTTCAGCTATCCAATAATAAAAATTAATTTAATTTTATAAATTGAAATATTTAATTAACATAATTTTATAAATTAAAGAATTTAACGAATTAAAATAAAAATTAAAATGTTGAATATAATCCTCGCATAACATAGGCCCAATAACAAGAATGGGCCTATACCCGCCTCCTAACCCAATAGTCTACCGGTAAAAACGCACGCTCCAGTATTCAGAACATAAAAAGCATGTTTCCGTTTTCTCATGTCCGAGTCTCCACATTCTCTCTGACACAAATGTAGAAACCTCCTTAATTTTCCACACAGGGAAGTCACTGCTCCTCTTGCTTTTTTCAAAAATGGAAACTACATCTTTACTACTTCACTCAAAATCTATCCCATTTGGTTTCGGTCTCTCAAATAACTGCAACGCCTATAGCAAGAAGAAAGTCTCTCTTAGACATTTCAACGAACACCTTCAATCACAAAGAAGCAATCCCAACTTTTTCTCCTATCGGATCCATAAGCCCGTCAAAATCCCATTGGAACCTACATTTCTGCTTCACCAATCACCAACACCACTAAGGTTAACGAACACCAATTTCCTTTCTTCTGTCAAATGCTCGATTTCCAGCTCTACCAGCACAGAAACTGCCGGAAACCATTCACGGCTGAATTCTCTGATAAACCTCTCTATTAAAGCTAAAGCAACCCTTTTGCAACTAACTCCTATTGATATCATCAAGTGGTCTGCTGTCTTCTCAATTGTTATTGCAGCTACCAAGTGGACTGTGAATTTGTTCTTAAATCCCTTTTTTTGGATGTATTTTAGCTGGACTTGGTTGTTTTGGCCCTGGCTTGTGGCTATATCATTAGCAGTTTATGGGTTTTATTGTTTTTATAAGTATTCATTAGGTGAAGCGAGGATTTTTGAGCAACTTGCCCTTGTTACTTCAATATTTACTTGGTTAACTCTTGTCCCTCCTGCCCATTTCAATGGCTACCTTGAAGGATGGCCTTTTGTGTTTTTCTTCGTCTACCATTATTTCTTTTTCTTCAATGTTAGTGTTAGGAAACGTTTATATGGAGATTATTATGCACGTCCACACGATTCCAAGTGGGATGTGAGCCCACCCAAATGGTCTCGCCTTTTTTTCTGTGTTGGGGTTATGGTTGCTCACTGGCTTGCAGCATTTGAAGGGCCAGAGCTGCATCTTGTTCCTGGTGGGTGGAGCAATGCAGGGATTTGGATTTTGATACTGCTAACTTTGCTTATGCAGTATAACTCAACGCTTTACCTGGCTAAGTATTCAGAGAAGGTGGTGGTGCCTACTGCTGTTGTGCAATTTGGACCATATAGGTGGGTCCGGCACCCAATATATTCATCCACAATGCTTCTGTTTGCAACTTATTTTATTGCGCTTCGTGCACCTTTGAGCTTGTTATTTGTGATAGCAGTATGTTTGATATATTATGCCCAAAAGGCAAAAATGGAGGAGGCTCTAATGATAGAGAATTTTCGGGAGAGTTATTTGGAGTATATGAGCAAAGTCCAGTACAAGTTCATTCCTTTAGTTTACTAAGGCAACCTCCAGGTATGCCATTGTTTATGCAACCTGTTTTACAAGGAGTTGAATTTAAAACTAGAAAAGTAAATGTTCAATTAAATACTGTACAATTTATGCATTATCCTTATTTATGTCTTTTGACTGGTTTTGTTTCTCTTTCCTTAAACATTTGAATTCACATAGTTGATTTGTTCCTATGTTCGATATTAATTGTTATGCTCAATATAGTCTGCCATTTGGTGGTAATTCCATAAGGTTCACATAAATTTATTTGTTGTAATTGGCCATCATTTTGCTTCATACTAAATTTTTTACAAAGCTCCTTGTTGATAATGTCCTAGATTCTCAAATAATCATATTTATTATATAATGGGATCATAAGATTTGTGTGACTAAGTTGTTATGCATGTTTAGTTGCAAAGGGACATGCAAGAGATATCCCTTAATCAAGGAGCTACCTTCACCTGGCATACCTTGGTAAGCATGTTGTAGTCTAGGTTACCGAGAGTGTGGGTTACTTTCAAATGAAGTGAAAATGGGAACATAAAGTGTCATTGTCTAGAAATGTGGTGTAGTAGAAGTATTCCATGGATCTCTCTCTGTTTTTCTTTTATTGCTTTGCACCTGCAAAATACGATAATGTGGATTGCATATGTGATGAAAATGCATGCAAAAGTTTTATATACTGGATTAAAATGAAAATAATTTCAAAGATTTTCTAATCTTGTAATATAATGAATTACATTCAATTAAAAAAAAAAAAAAAAAAAAAAAAAAAAAAAAAAAAAAAGAAAAACAGAAATCCTAATTTAAACTACTTCAACTGTTAAAAAAATAAAAAACTTAAAGGTTTAAAATTGCAAGCACATAATAATTAAGGTAATCATTATTTTGAGATTTTGTTACGATGGTTATTTAAATTCCTCTTTTAGTGGTGTGTTGAAAATCTTGTAATTAGTGGTAAATATGTGTCTTTTCCTAGTTTAGATTTATTCCTATTTAGATTACTTCCCGAATATTGGAAGAATCTTTTGGTTATATATATCATGAGTTGTATATATATATATAGTCTAATATTTTAATGTATAGTTAGAGTAGAAGATAGAACAATACAAACACAAAATATAAGAGAAATAAAACATCTCTCTTTTTCAAAAACTATGCGTTATTTGCATGCGCAAAACCTTGTTTAATGAATTCCAACAGAAAGTAATGATTCATTGATATGGATTGTGCACCAAGCCAGAATGCAAGATTTGCTAGGAGGTTAGATATATATATGTATAGTAGAGTAGAGATTAGACAATAACAACACAATATAGAGAAATAAAACTCTCTCTTTTCAAAAACTATGGGTTATTTGCATTGCAAAACTCTTGTTTAATATTCCAACGAGTAATGATCCATGATATGGATTGTGCACCCAGAATGCAGATTGCTAGGGGTTAGTTATTTCTGTTACACTGTTTGAGCCAACTTGATTGAGGAAGATTGTGAAGTAAATTATTTTGACTTATGGAAAGGTTAACCATGCTCGATGATACAACAACTTTTGGTATTCAGAAATAAATGTCTAGTAAAGCATATGATGATTTTGAGATAGACAGGAAAAGATACAAGTAGAAACAAATGCATTGAGCAGAAGACTCGGTAAAAATTTGCAGGACTAGATGGATGAGGATCTTTGAGAAAGTTTTCTTGGGGACTGATCTTTTTCCTTCTTGCAAAGCATTAATCATCATTTGTAGCATTTCCATAATTCCTACTGAGGAATAATATTCCAACTAGTAATGATCCATGATATGGATTGTGCACACAGAATGCAGATTGCTAGGGGTTAGTTATTTTTGTTACACTGTTGAGCCAATTTGATCGAGGAAGATTGTGAAGTAAATTATTTCGACTTATGGAAAGGTTAACCATGCTTGATGATACAACAACTTTTGGTATTCAAGAAATAAATGTCTATGTAAAGCATATGATGATTTTGAGATAGACAGGAAAAGATACAAGTAGAAACAAATGCATTGAGTAGAAGATTGGGCAAGACTTTGCAGGACAAGGTGGTTTGATCTTTTTTCTTCTCCTCACAAAACATTAAATCATTGTTTGTGGCATTTCCATAATTCCTAGTGAGGAATTAGGTACTAGAATACTTGTCAGAGTTGGTTACAAAGAAACAAAACAAATTACTAGCCTTAAACTTGCAGGATCTAAGGTTTGCTGCTATTGAGAAACCCCCAGACTTGCATCACTAAAACATATGTGACCAAACAATCTCAGACAGCATTTCATTTTATCTCCAACTTGTGTCACCTGCATCGCTTGTAGAATGAGATCACTGCTAATCTTGTCCAATCTTATGTGACTACATATCCATATCCTGTGATGTTCATCTTGTGAACTTGTTGGACATTTAATGCCCAACATTCACTTCTTATAACATCACAAGTTTCATTGCTGTTCTATAGAACTTGCCTTTCATTTTTATTAGATATCTTCTTATCACTTAGCACATCTATAACATTCATCCATCCTATTTTAATTCTATGATTACATCTTATCTATCATGCCACCCTTCTAACATACAAGGCCTAGATATCTAAATTTATTGTGTTAAGGACCATAATACTGTCCAATTTCACCTTACCTCTGTTCTTCATATTGGGGCCAAATTTACAGGGCATATGTTCTGTCTTACTACTACTAAACCTGAAACCCTTGGTCTCAAGAGTGCCACTCCATAATTCCAACTTTTGGTATACGCCTTTGCTGGTTTCATTGATTAAAAGAGTATCATCTGTGGATAACGTACACCACAGGCATCATCTTGTATACTACCGATTAGCTCATCCATAACTAGGAAAACTAGTATGGGCCGAAGGCCGATCTCTGATGTAGTCCTACCATATCACGCTTCAATTTTTTAGGACTACCTAATGGAGATACTGTGATTATTTATTCCTTTTTTTTATGCAAATTTGGAGATATATCTACTTCATGCATCGACATCTCGTCTTTCATAACTGCTTCAGCTTTAAGTCTTTTAATTTTGTAGATGTCTATAAGTTAGATACTTCTAATGTCTTAACTTGTTCTGAAGTTACAAAATTGTCCACATACCTTTACAGTACCCTTTGGAAGCATAAACATGCAAACGCAGTTGATTGTCTCTGAATTCAAATTTGATCCCAGGACTGACTCAAACTCCATTTTATGACATAAATATTCAGTCTCGTTATCATTGTTGGCAATAGACGAGTTTCCTATTCGGCAATTGAATATTGTTCTTTGATCTTATAGATTAGGTTTTCATTTTTTCACTATGGAGAAACCCCCTCCCTTGTTTGAGTTATCTCATTATCCTTTTAATAGAAGCATGAGCATTGATTTGAAAAAGCTGTTGGTTTCTGAAGGCCTCAATTTTACCTAGCAGCATGATTGGTCAAGTTTGCGAAGTTTGGCAGAAGCCTTATCCTATTCAATTTACCTTACAAGTTTGGTCAGACGTGCATAAGCAATAGAATTGTTGCCTGAAGTAGCTTCCTTTTTAATCCTATCTATAAGGGTCATGTACCAGTGATCCTCAGTTATTGATAGGTCTAAAGACCAACATAATGAATCTCACTAACATAAAAACGAAAACTACCAGGAAAGGTGGAAGCCACCTCATATTCACATGATGGCCATCTCATCAGGATGTGAAATATATTACCTTATCCTTGTTTGCACCATATTTTATAAACTTGCATCAGTAAAATGCAAGAAGTCTTCTATGAATCTCACTTGCAAAAATATTTGGATCTTTGTCCTGTGGGCAATTAAGCCAGATCACTTTCCCTACGTCCTTTCACATTTTTCTTATTTCCATGCACTTGTGGACAAGGGAAATTGGTCCTCGTTTGGCTGCTTCTATCCTTTAGATTCTCTATGTGAGGATATTAGACTTCTATCTCCTTTGATTTTTAACATCTTTTTAATTCTTATGCAAGTAATGTTGATGCTGGCTAGCATGACAAATTGTAATCTAGAAACATGCTTGCAACTTTACATGTTTCAAGATCTTTTCAATTTAGGAATTTGTGTGCTTCTGTTTTTCCATTTCAGGAAATTGGTAATGGATATCTTGAAAAGTGTCTAGTTTTGTGATAGATGAGTTAAGCGGCGATTTGTATTGGCCATTTCTTATTAGCATTTCGAAACTTTTTTTATTTCGAAAAATTTTGGGGATTCTTATGCTATGACTTTTCCACTTCTGAAATGTACATGGACAGAATTTCTTTCCACATTTCCATTGTGAATGATCGTTTAATTATTACTGAAGGAATTTCTGTGCTGTTTGAAGATCCATTTACATCAGTTTGGCAATTTCAAAATTTTATTCTTTCCGCTTCTTCCATAATAGGAATCCATGTCTATTTGGATATGTTAATCATTTCGTGTGACACAATACAACAAAACCATCTAAATGTTCTATGAAACTGATTTTCTTATTTGATGGTTTTGACAGTCCTAAATTTTATAAAGAACGCATCAAGGCAATATACAGCTGGAATATTTATTTATTTGATCATAATAACTGATGAGTTCTAGGATGATTTTATTCATTGTACTGGAATATTTAGTTTAAATCTTATGCCCCATAAATTTGCAAGTCGCATATCTGCTGCATCCAAACCGGTATAAGTTTTATTTGACTCCATAATGGAAGCTCATAGCTGGTAAATATTTAGTGTTCGGTAGCACGAAAACTGCTGTTAACAATTGTGTTTTATGGGTTAAACGACCAATATAGATACACGGTTTTGTGTGTACGCTGCTTTTTGCAAGAAATGCATATGGGTCTGTCGATATTTTTTTTACATGGTGTGCAATTACAATTCAAAACAGAAGACAGTATTCTGCATTGAGCATTCTATTGCACTCTTTTTTCACTCCATTTTTTCAGTTTACGAGCCATATTCTATTGGATTTTGTCGTGTAATTTCAATGATTGAAGCAAATATATGAGAGTGTAAACATTAATAACAGACCCTTTCAAAGGGAAAGGCAGATGTTAAGCAAGCCTTGGATTCTAGATTTTCTACACTGTGAGGCAGATATTCATCCGGCTAGCTCAATGGCTGAATCGTTGGAGCTTAGACAAGCATTTAGCTGTTCTCCAACAATAAAAAATGCACACAGCTAGTCCATAATTCATGCATCTCCCACTCTCTGATGTATCTTCCTTTTTAGTTGTGCACGATTGACATTCTTCATTTCATTTTGTTCATATTGCGTAGACATGTCAAAGGTTCCCAAAGTCAAACTTGTTAATCTTGTTAACACCACTGGAATAACCTGTTATATTATCCACATTTTGTCTATTTTCCACAAATGGGAAAATGCATTTTAGCCCCTGGCTGCTTAAATTATGAGGGCAAGGAAAGGAGAGCTTGATGCGACAAAGATAGAGCAACGTAGTTTCTGCGCAAAATCCACATAATCAAAGATGGGTGATGTAGAGAAGCTATGTTCATGCGATTGAAAAATTTTTGTGTGATTTCAGTTTCTGTATTGTGCTAAATTGGATTAAATTTCAATTACGACCTTTCAGTCTCACTCACCTAGTCACCTACTCGAGGAGGATTTATGTATGCAGCTTTCTCTCTGCTTTAGTGCAAAATTTTCCTGACTCGAACCTGTGATTTTCAGGTTACAAATAGAGTAATTTTTTTGTTACACTAAAAGCACTCTTTTTTGGAGGAAAACGTACTCATGGTAATATTGCAAATTACCCGAAACTGATTTTCCAGAATTTCCTAATAATTTCTGACAGTCTGACGTGGAATTGTGGTGTGAACACCTAGATTCTTATCTTGGCCAATGTTTTTCTCCAGGCATTTTGTAGGCCAATCAGAAAGAGAGGAGAGTGAGAGAAAATATCTAAGGAATTGATAGTTACATGATTGACATTCAAAACCTCACAAATTTGATCTTCAAAGCACATTAATCCAAAAGCAGCAGTTCAAACGCACTTTTCTCGTTCTTTCTCTCTCTCTTTTTTCTTTTTCTTTTTCTTTTTGATATTTCCTTTCCTACATAAAACCATTCCAACCTATATGTTACATCGAGAAATGCATGATTTGGCCTCACACAATGCCTTAAGACATTGACTTGTTGCTAACCCAAGCCAAGAAAACACCCAATAGAGCTTGATCAAAGGACTGCCACCAAATCAAGAAAGCTACACCGCTGTGGCTTTTGTACCCATTGAGCACAAGAAATTTTTTGATTTTTGAGTTTGACATGGACATTACTATTGCTAATTGTAGATTTTATAACAAACAAAAAATATTATGAGCTAATGAATAATAGATTCTTGCAATATTATTCTCATATGTTTAATTCTATAAAGATGATTATTTCTAGTTTAATATAAAATCAATAATTAGCAATATTAATGCTAAATCACTACTAATCATATCTCTGCCAATTTGCTTCTAGGACTGGGGATTACCCTTATAGGCAAGCCCCTCTTTGGTACTGGGAAAGGTCCATATTGTATTCCATCATCATCTCCCATAACTTGCCACCTGAATCCAAAACAAGATAAATTAGGAAACTTTTGAGTTTTAAAGTTGTGTATTATCATTCATATCATGTGCTAATAATTTTAATTGACAAATGCAACCCTTAATACAAATAATTGAGATTGGTTAACTTATCAAATATGTTCTGATTGAACTTTTTCTGAATATAATTTTAAGCAATTTACAATCAGCTACACTCATTCAAGGTGTAAATTAGTCGAGCTAAGCAGCACTCAAATCTGTCATGCTCGAAATTCGGCTTGATAGAATTTAGCTTAGCTTAGAACTCAATGAGCTTTAAAATTTTAAACTCAAGTTCGGCTTAATGAGAGTTCGCGCTTCACTTAAGGCTCAAGTACAACTCGAAAAATTTGAAACTCGAGATGACTCGATGAAAGGTCAAGCTTGCTTGAGGCTCGAATACAACTCGAAAAAAATCCAGAATATCATTAATCCAATATGAGCTACATGAGCTCTCAGCAGTTTATTAGATAAAATGATAAATTTGAGCTCCAACTTAGCTCAAGGCTCGAAACTCAAGTAAACCTAAAGTAATATTATATATATTTATATATAAAAGTTTAATAAGACTCGACGAGTTTTTAAGCTGAACACTATCAAGTTCGAGCTTGATTTGAGCTAAATTTTTTTTTTTTTTTTTTTTTTTTTTTTTTTTTCTTTTTTTTTTTTGTTATATTTGCAGTCAATCCGAACAGCTCGCAAGAAAGCCGGTAAGTGGCCTTTTTTTTTTTTTTTTTTTTTTTTTGAGTCAAGCTCGAACAGCTCGCAAGCCGGTAAGTTGGCTCGACTTATTTACATCCCTACACTCATTTATAGATTCATCCAAGTTATTATTATTGTTATTGTTATTATTATGTGCACAAAATCTTTAGCATATAAAATTTATGATTCATAAATAAGTTGTATAAAAAAGCATCTGAAATCATTTAGCTATAACTACATTGATGGTCCAAGTTGATGGAGAAGAAGTAGACATAAAATTGCATGAAGCGAAATTATTTCAAAAAATGTGAATTTAACTGTGAACAAAACGAATTAAAATTTTTTTAAAAAAAAAACTATATATTCAAGTTTAATTAATTTAAAATTAAACCTTAATTGTTGTTGTTTTCTGTAAAAACAAAAGGCATTGAGTATATTCAGACATGTACTCACAATGATACAAATCACATAAACAAAATTTGTTTGAAGATGCATAGATTGGTATCTTTGCTTTAGAAATAAATAAATAAATAATGAAAAAAAAAATGATGTGGCGCATAATCTGCAGAGCTACGCTGTGGTGTAAACTCAACTGACACGTCATCCTATTTTTTGGTCTTGATTTTTCTATAGCTGGCAAACCTAGTTGTCACATGGTCACATAATTTGCAATAGCATATAGCTGGCAATTTATGTCTTTTAACTATAGTGTGTGTGATTTTTAATATATTAACAATTAATATTGAAAATTAGAAATTAAAAATTTTTATATATTAATAAAAAAATATTTCATGATGATGAATGGGACCAGGCGTGGAGCCACATGTAATTGAAGAGACTCAATCGTCCCCCTTGCATTTGAGAAAAAAAAAATTGTTTTCATGGGACTTCATCCTTAAACAAATAAAAATTTTGAATCCAATTTATGAAGGGTAAGCATTCGGTTAACCAAACCGAATTAGCTCAGTTCAATCTATCCGAATATAATATATTTTATGCTATCTAGATTTGAAATTAAATGGTATAATAATCGATCCAAACCGAATTAAATGGTTTGATTCAGTTTAAATTTAATTATTTCAAACCAAATAAATTATTTTAAACTTAAAAATAAATTCAGTTAATTATATATAATAACCAAACTAAAAATCAAACAGTTTTATATATCTAAACCAATCAGTAATAAAAATTCTAAAAAACAATTATCTAAATTTAACAAAAATGAATTTTGATTTTCAGTTAAAAACCGAGAATTGCTGACGCTTACGCTTTACCTCTTTAAGTTCACATTTAAAATTTTACCCCTCTTTTATTTAAATTCTAATTTTGTCCCTGATTAGGATAAGGCAATGTACATCTTAGAAAGAGGAACCTTAGCCAAATCAAAACTTAAAACCTAAGGAGGATAAGGATGTGTCAATTGTAGTTTGTAATTGATTGATTTAAAACATGTGTCAATTCTTTCTTTAGCAAACATTTGTGTGCCAGAAAATTCCTTGTCACTTCACATTTCAAAATCAAGAGAAAGAAGAAAAAAAGAACTTCTACTTTCCTCCAATGGATTTTGAGGTTAAAGTGAATTCACATCCATGGTGTGTAAAATCAATAGATATTCAATGACAAAATGAGTTGATGACACCTTCACATATGAAGACAAATGAAATGACTTTGGATAACAAATCAAAGAGACATTGTGATGTTTACATAATGAAGAAGTGTTTGGAAGTATGTGAAAATATTTTAAAAGAAAAGGATTTTAAGATTCAACGGAGTTCTGAAAAACTCAATGAATTAAATCGGTTCGATTTTTATTTTTACATTAAAAAATTAAATTTATTTAAAATTTTTACTAAATTTCAATTTGCTCAAAAATAATTAAAAATTAAACCAAATCAATCAAATTGAACTAATTCTATATACTAATTGATTCAATTGGATAATCCAGTTTGTAAAACGAAATGCTCAACCCCCAACTATGAGTAGTATCTAAAATAGGTATGATCATGGTTCCAACACCGCTGATATCAACTATAAAAATGGTGAAATCGAAATTAAACCGCTTTTAACGGTTTCTAATAAAACGATTTTGAAATCGCTGATTTTGGTTTTGTTTTAATTTAAATTATTTATTTTTTATGTTTTAAAATTCTTTTCTAAATTTGTAGCCTAAATAATAATAACAATAATAAATATTGCTATTGAAAAAATCTAGATCAATAATATAAAAATTTTCAAAATTTATTTTGAAAATTATAATAAAACAAATAAATTATAAGTTTTTTTAAGAACATGATTCATAGTTTCAAACTAAAACAGTCAATTTCGATTTCAAAAAGTAAAAAATAAAAATCAAATTTTTGATACACAATTTTAATTATTGTTTAAAATTAAAAATCATTGACTATGATTTAATACTGATTTGATGAATTCGATTTCAATTTAAAACCGAACCGTTATTGTGTCTAATATAAAGAAGTAAAACATGTATTACTAGAAAAGAAAAGAAAAAAACAGGTAGGATTCCACTAAGTCTAACACATGGACCTACTTGAATGAGATATCACGCAAAGAGTTGGAGAAGTAGTACTACTGTTCATGGACAAATGTGTGATATGATGCATGGAAGCCACGTGTATGATTGATCACTCCCAATATTTATTTTCATTTTCTTTTCTTCTCTTTTCTTGAAACTATATAAGGACCACTTCCACAGCCCAAGGAACACTGATAATAGGACCACTACCAACCAGTGGCCCGTCCTCCACCCTCCGCCATCACCGGCAGCACCATCACCACCATCACCATTCTCCTCATATCAACTAACTGATTTTGACAAAAGATGAGTAAGGTGGCATCCTCTATATCTTTCACTATTACATTGATATTGTTTTATTTTTATTTGGATTTTATTGACGAATTTATAATTTTATAATTTTAAAGATGATTTCGATATAATAAATTTTAGAGAGAGAGAGAACCTGTAAGTTATAGTGAGATGGTGCAGGAGAATGAGCATTTCAAGCTTAGCTAGCTCACTGCCTGGGCAGGAATGGACTCCATTGCCAAAGGGCATGTAAGTATAAGGTCTTGGTGGCACCTGCACAATCACATAAAAATATATTAATATTAAAAATTAATGCCTCACAATTAAATAATCTAATAGAAAGTTTTCCTAGTACAAAAACCTGTTTACCAACAGTTTTCCATACATCATCAAATAACTAATAACTAATGATTAATTTCAAACAAAAACAATAATTAAGCATTTAATTTGTTTTAATTAAATTTAAATTCCAAATCTCACAGTTCTGAAAACAAAACGTCAGTCTTGCAGTCCTCAAAATAACTCAAAAACCCTTAAAACAAAAATTTAATGATTCATAAAGACAAGAATAAAAAAAATGAGAACTCATAATTAGACTGAAAAAATGTTAATTTGCTACCCTACAAAAGGAAGTCACATGATGGGAAACAAAGAAGATTTTGAAGGGGCAGAGATGAAATAAACATGATCAAAAACTGAAAACGACATAACTCTCTAACCGACCCACTTCATCAAAATTTATATGCTCAGTCACTACTACTGACTACGATAATAATTACTATATATATTAGAAAATAAATAATTAAAATAAATATATAAATATAAATATAAAATCACCTCGAATCTTGAAGGGTCAAATTTATCGGGTTGAGGGAAGAAATCTGCAGAATGATGAATGGTTCTAAAGAGAGGCAGAACTTTCCAACCTCTTGGGATTAAGTAACCTTCAAATTCTACATCTTCGACTGCTTCTCTAAATGTAAATGATAGTATGCTTGCTCTTCTTAGTGTCTCTTGTATCACCTGAAAAAATAAATAATTTATTTAATTATTTTTATTATATTTTAATTTTATTAAGAAAATAGTATTAGTAGATACCCACAATTCTTATTATATTTAATACAATACCTAATTGTCTGTGTAAAAATAGCTTTTATTTACTGATTAGTTTAAAAAAAATTCAAAATTTACAATTTTCACTTAGTTGTGGAAGGCTTTCTATTAGAGAGCTAGAAGTAAAGTATTTCTTTTATAATTTAGTGATTCAATATATATCTGTCTTAAGGTCATATTTATTTTTTAAAGAATTTTCAGTATATGACAAAAAATAAATAAAATTCAGCGGTCCATTTATGCTTTAAGGATTTATGATGCACCAAAAAAATTCAAAATTTTGACTTTTAATATTGACTACTTCTAATTTAGGTTTTATACTTATCCTATGGTGGAAACCTTGTCATATCAATTTTGTCGTAGATGTTTTTTTTTGTCTTGAATGGAATTTTTTCTTAGATGTTATTACAACTCTCGACATCAAAAACCTAACAAAACTTTTTGACCAAATTCATACTAATCAATTTTGTCAAATCGAATTGATAAATTAAAACAAAAATTGAATATACTTTGTAAAAATTAGGAGCATTCAGCTCCTACGAGCCGGGTTGAATTGTCATAAATTTTCTCTTTTTTCTGCCAAATTCTATATAAATCGGGTCTTAATAACCCGACTTGTGCAGCTCTAGTAAAAAGTAACGTAATTTGTTAAATCAAACTTAATAAGTTTGGATTAGGATATTTTTTTTTTTTTTTTTTATTATTAAAAGAAATAGGAGCATTAGCTCCTACGAGCCGGGGTGAATTGTCCCATAAAACTCTCTCTTTTTCTTCTCCCAAATCATAATAAAGTCGGGTCTTTAATACACCCGACTTTGTGCAGGGCTCGTAGCCGTATTAAAAGTAACTGTTAATTTGGTTAGAGAAGTAAATACTTAATAAAAGTGTGGTATATAGGATATTCTTTTTTTTTTTTTTTTTAGTATTGTTCAAACAAGAGAAATTTAAACTCGAGTCAGTTACTTATTATATTTTTATTGTACTCTAATATGCTATTTAGTAATGAGAATATACTCATTAACTACTAAAAATTATACATACTAATGAACAAGAATTTGTATTGAGGAAAATGAATTTAAATATAAAATATGAAATATAATTTGAGATGAAGGAGTATAAATTGTATATAGATTAAGTATTAAAAAGTCGCTCTGATAGGTTTCCAACAAGGCAAACATGACGTCCTTGTATTCATCCCACGAAGCCTAACACGGATTGACCTCCAATTAATAATTCTATAGTCTAATTCATTCCTCTGTTTCAGTCTGCATAAAAAAAATAAATAAATAATTATTAGATAATTAATATGATTTCACACAGTATTAATTCATGCTTATTAATGAACTATATAATTTGTTTGCGCAAACTCCAATGTAATCCAATGTGCCTATTAGATTTTATTTAAAGCAATGATAGGTTAACAAAAAACAAATTTAATAGGCAATAATTTTATGATTCTTCATTTACGTGAGTTGGAGCTAATAAAGCAGATCTATGTTCAATAGCAACTACAAGAGAGAGTTATTTAATATTAATTAAGCCGTGCGTGAGAAGAGAGTACACTTGGAGTCGTATTCTAACTCTAAAGGTTATAATAAGAGCCTAAATATTACTGATAGTCGAATGAATGAGTAACAAAATGGAAACAATTAGGAAATTTTTTTTTTTTTTTTTTAGTATTAAAAGAGAAATTTAAACTCGTACAGTTACTATTAATTTATGTATTAATATGCAGTTAGAATGATATATTACTACTTAAAAAATATAATATATGACAGAATTTGAATGTGGAAAATTAAATTAATAAAAATAAGAAATGAAATTTAATTTGAATGGAGAGTAAATTTTGTATAGAGATAATATATATACCCTGATAGTCAACGGCATGCGTCTTGTATCATCCCACGTAAGCCTACGATTTGCCTCAATTATTTCTTGTCTAATTCGTTCCTGTTCAGTCTGCATAGGAAAAAATAAATAAATAAATATAAAATAATGATTTCACAGATTAATTCATGCGTATATAGAACTAAAATTTGTTTTCCCAAAACCCAAAACCATGTGCCAATTATTTTATTTAAGCAATGATTGGTTAACAAAAAAACAAATTTAGGCAATTAATTTTATTGATTTTCTCATTTACGTGAGTAATAAAAGATCTTATGTTTCAAAATTCGCAACTACAAAAATTTTTAATAATTAAGTGGCGTGAAAGAAGATTACCCTTATCGTCTAATCTACGGTTAATAAGGCTAAATATTCTTTTTATCAATTGAATTAAGCCAATTGATAACAATCGGAAACTCTCTTTTTCATCGAGTTATATTTGATTTTGTTGAGAAGTCAATATCAATCTACTAAAGAGCTATTAAGAAGAACTCATGTTCGTCCATAAGGTGTGATTCAAGTGATCACGCTTGAATTCAACAGATTGAATTTCAAAATAAGATTAATCTCATATTCAAAAGGACAAAAAGATATAAAATTACCGCAACAGCTTGTAGTAGATCTTGATTATCATGCAAGTATTTGAGAACCCATGTTAGGACACTTGCAGTCGTATCATGAGCAGCGAAAATCACTCCAATTATATTGTCAGCGATTTGGGAATCGTTAAGCTTATTATTAAGCTTTTCATCTTGAGCTCCTAAAAGAACTCCAAGAAGTCCTCCTCCTTCTTTCCCACTTTCTCTTCTCTTCTCTATCAATCTCCTCAATATCTCATTCAGTTGCTTCCTTGCCTTTTTCCATACACAATTAACATAAAAAAAATATATATATTATCATTTTCATTTTTTTAAAAAAAAGAACATACATAAACACTAATAATATGAATACAATGTACATACGCAATGAGGAGATTCACACCAAGAAATAATATGAAGAACATAGAAAGTAATAGAGTAAAGAAGAATAATAATAATTGCACAACAAACTAATTTTTCAAATTAAAATAATATATGCAGCAACGTGAGAAATTGTTGTATAAAAAGCTAAAAATATAACAATTCAAATGGACGAGAATTTACTTTATAATGCATGAGATTAATACAATAGTAATTTAGTAGTAAAATGCATATTTTGAAATATAAAAATTATAAGAGTTATTTGATACGACAAATACAAGATAATATTTTTCAGATTCGAATATCTTTATCGATATTTAAAAAAAAAAAAAAAATCATTTTGACAAAGAGGTATAAAATAAAAATAAATAAATAAGAGAGAAAGGAAAAGAAAAGAGTATTTCAATTTCTCCTTACCTTCATTGCCTTGTTAAAGAGAGTTCCTGGCAAATCCAAAGGCATAGAATTATAGCCTTTCTCCAGGCAGAGATATAGATGTTTAATTCCTTGTATTTCCAAGGCTTGTTTCTCTCCAAACGCAGAAATCATTGCCACATCAAAAGCATACTAATAACAGAGAAAAAAACCCAATAAAGAGAAAAATTATTAAAATATTATTAACTACAATGAGACAAAATTATCATGCAATAAAAGATAAATTTGGTTAGTACCCTCTTCATTTCCTGCAAAGTATTAATGGTTGCATTTTTCCAAGTGGGAAGAAATGCCAAAACAATCTGCTCAATTTCAGAGACTGAACCTCTTATTGCCGAAGGTAGAAATGAAGCTTGCACCAACTTCTTGAGTCTTGAATGATAAGCTCCTTGATGGAAAAACAGAGCCTCTGGCCCTATCATTTTCTCTTTACTTGTTGGATATGTTGGCTTGAACAAATGTGCTTTTGTCACTAACACAATTCTTGCTGCTTCTGGACTTGATATCATCACACATGGACATCCCAATATATGGGTCTTAAATATATCACCATACCTACAAATTAATTAATTTACCTATTATAGAAATACAAGGAATTGAGTTATTTGAACCCAAATGTTAAAATATTAAATGAAGTAGAAGGTCAAGATTTTAAATATTTAATATCTTCCTGATAATGCAGAAAGTCAAGATTTTTTTGAAGAATTTTTTTTATTACTCAAAAGAATATATATATATATTTAACACTGTTTTATATGTCTTTGTGTACCGTTTTTGCCTATTGGAGAAGAAAGAATTCGGGTTTTGAGTGTAGAGCTTGAGAGTCTCTCCAATATAAGGCCATCCCATTGAGCCAGGAGGGAGGCGTTTGTCTTTGGAATGATGCCATTGAAGGAAAAGAGGAAGAAGAAGAACAAGAAAAGGAAGCAAGAATGAGCCAAAAACAAGTGGTAACGTCAAAATCGTCATCAAGAAACCAATCTCCCTCTTGATGAGAGAGATGAAATTAAACGCTAATAAAGATGTAGTACTTAGTGATATTGGTGATGACAAACGAGAAACTGCACGATTATATGTATATATGTATACCAATATCAATTCAAGAAAAGCAAGTATCAAGAATCAAGAAACAAGAAATAGTTGGGTAAAGGGTAACCAAGAACAGGGGGAGGAATGGCCTTGAAGTGGTGGTGGTGTATATATATATATATACACAGAGAGAGAGAGAGAGAGAGAGAGAGAAAGAGAGGATGTAGGTTACAGGCGTCACCAAGTTTATGGGAACACCTTGCTAGCACCTCACCGAGTGAGCCTCTGCCCTTTCCCTTTTAGGGATAGCACCCCAACCCCAAATTCGACAATATACTTCTTTTTCTAAAAATAAAAAAGAATTCAAAAACAAATAATGGCAATTGTTTATAAGTGGACACGTTTCTTTTGGACTATGAGACAATAAGACATACCACACGCGTTTAAAAGAGCATGTAAATGGAGCAAAGAGAGGATAGAAATTTATTAACGGGGTGGAGATAAGGTGAGATTTTTTTTAGCCTGTCTGAGTTACGGACGAAATTAAAATAGAATTTACGAATGGCAAAAGAGGAATGGATTGGACATAACTAGCCTCTAAATCATCCCGTTGCCATTCTTAAAATTGGTATATATTATAAATATTGATAGAGTTAAAAGGAAAAAAAATGAGAAAAAGGGTTAAAATACATATTTGCCATCAATTTTTAACATAGCTTTTACTTTCTTGATTAGGTTAAATTTCATCTTTATTATTTATAGTGTTTAGTAGCGTAGTTACTAGTTGAACAAGAAAATTAAGCAGGATCATCAGTTCGGTTCGAATTGAAAGTGAATGGAAATCAAACCCATTATAGATGAACCCTAATCAAATTGGAAATTATTGATTTAAAATTTAAATCCAGAGTCTGCAATGTACAAATCAATTAAGGTTCATTTTAACGTTAACAATGAACTTGAACTGACAGTGGCTTGGCTACTTCAAAACTATATTGTTTGATATAAATAAAAGTTCAACGATATTTTTTCCTTTCAAATTTCTTTACTTAACTATGTTCGGCAATAGTTTTTTGAATAGTTTTTAATGGTTTGATCAGACATTATTTTTTATATTGTTCAATAATATAGCGTTTGAACTAATTTTTAGAAGTTAAGATAATATTTTATAAAAGGTTAACTCCTGTAACATTTAGCTTTTAGCATTTTATGCAAAGTTACTAAAACAGCTAAACCTAATAGCTATCAAAATAACCAATTTTATCCGAATAGATGCTTAGTCTAGAATTGCATTATTTTAATGTTTTGCCGTTCAAGTTTTCCTAATAATCCATTTAATCGTTATACAAGTATAAGCATTCTTAATTTATTTCTTACACAAGTATAAGCATTCTAATTTAAAACAAATTTATCAATACGTGTACCTCTGAAACCTTTTTGGAATCATGACTTGAACCGTTAATTTATCGAAATCGTGCTAATATTGGCATAATCGAATTGAAATCAGTTATTCAGAAGGCAGTTTAAGTTAAATTATTACACCAGCGGTTTAATAAACCGGGAATATCTAGAGTGAACTATGAAAATTTACTTCATTTAATGTTTAATGGAACACTAACAAAATAATTAACCACTATTAGAATAATTAATAATTAAATCATCTAATTTTGCAGAATATGGCTATAAAACACTGATTCAGCTTTTTTTTTTTCTTTTGAAGGAATCATTAATTCATCTCATTAATTATAATTAAACAATTTTACATAATTTCTTGTAGCTAGTTAGCGTGGACTTTTCAACATTGGCCTATTCTCAACTTAATGTGCAAGTACAAACACAATAATGCATTGCGAGGCACAAATTACTGTGCGTGTACTTCACGTACCATAACACGAGAGTTGTTGTGTTCCGCAAAGCAAGAGAAAGACGTCCACATTCCCCACCACGATTACCTCAAACTTATCGTCACATATGTCGGCCCAGCCCTTCACGGCTCCGACAGGCCAACCCAATATTCATCTCTCCAACTCTTAAGAGCAAGAAATCGTGATCAGGTTGCTATGGGACTTGATCTTACACGTGGCATAATCCTAGATATGTACCTTAAATCTGTACTCTCCTTGTTCCGTACTTTTTTTTAGAGAACCAAACCTGATCCTGACCATTGTTATTATTATTATTATTATTTTTGTTTTTTAAAGTTTGCTTTTGGGTTGGTTTGTGGCATTGTGCTTTGAAATTTTCTAAATTTAGGCGAAAAAAAACCTATTAAGTGGTATGTCCAAAACAAGCACACCTAGACAAACTCTTCCTTTTTCTTTCCATTTTAGAAGTATCCCTCTGTCTATGAATGTTAGATTGTTCTATTTCTTTTTAATGAAAGAATATTTTCATATAGTGTTGTTATTATTCCATTCAATTATTATGTTCCATTTGCAGAATTTTATTAATTGAGTGTTGGATGCTACCAATTCTTGCTAACCCTTTTTTTTTCTTTTTGTTACCAATTTGAAGCAAACTTATTATTTAAGTAACAATTTTTTTTTTTTAAGAATTAAACTATATGCAGTGGTGGGTTCAAAAAAACTTTTTTTTACTGGAATTAATATTATTGATAAATGAGTTTCCGGCGAACAACTCTTCTCAAAAGGTGCTAAATTGGGATCTCATTATAATTGAAGATTTTTATTGTTCCAGAGGATCTTGGAAAATTAGGAACCGGAAGCCCTCCTTTTTCTGCCCGCTATTTGGTCTTAAGAACGCTGATTTTAAAAATGAGTGATTGCTGAATAATAAAAAAAAAATTAAATAAATAATGGTGGACTTAATATGTATCAATTAATTTTGTGAAATTGGATTCTAACAGTCACTCATGTACACGTTCATTTTATGCATCGAAAATGTCAAACTTTTAAAGACTTGGTCTATTCAATTTGCAGTTTAATTTTTTATAAATTGAAACTTGTAATTTACAAATTGATAAATGTATGTAGTACTATCTTCGTACATTTATTTTAATTTTTATCTAATACGACATTTAATGAGTGTTGAAAATTAATTATGTATTAAAAAAGAAAGAATAAAGTAATGTAAAATTAAATTAGCTGGATTTAATACGACTCAATTGAATACACATATAAGATAAATTTCATTTTTTATTTAATTATATGAATTAAAAAAATTTCACACATATAAAGAAATCAACTAGCTAGGTCTAGATTATATATAGTATAATTTTCTTCTAATTAATCTAGATGTTATTCTCCATCACATCCAATAATTTGAAAATCACAAAGCTTTATACGTACCACAAAAATTAGAAAATTTTTTATAATGCATTAATATCTTATTAAAGTTTAGTATTAATCAATCAATTAATTATACTAATTTCAGTACAATTTCAATACGACTTCCTTAACTAGCTTAGCTACCCATGTAATTTCTACATTTGGAAAGGTGTAAATCATTGAAATTGATAGTAATGGGCATTGAAAATGAAAGATTAAAATCTTAAAGTGTAGTAGATAATCTCAATTAATTAAGTAAGTAAGTAATCATTAATCACTTAAACATGCATGGGATTAGCAAGAGCAAAGCAAAACAAGTAAAGGCTATAAAGCCAATTTCAAAACACGTGTGGTAGTAGTAGTAGTCAAAGAATACAGCAACAACTTCACGTGCTTGCACCAATCTCTTCATCAAAGTGCCCTCCTCTCCTCCACCACCACCACCACCACCACCATCACCATCAATTCCAACTCACATATCACAACAATCTATAATTGCACCTACCTAAAAGTTCCTGTGTTTGTTCTGCACTTTTTTTCATTTATTTTTGAAACTTTAAATCTTTTCCCACTTTTTTTTAATTAAAAAAGAGAGAGAGAGATTGCACGAGAAATAAATGGATCATCATCGCTTGAGTTATTATTCTTTATAACTCAGAGCGCATTTTCAATACTAATGTGAATTTGCATTTATTTAATTGTGATATTAGAAAAATGAAAAAGATTTTTTTAAAAAATATTATTTAATACTAATGTCTATTTGGTATGTTAAAAAAATAAATAGACATTCTCAACCACGTTTTCTATTTCTAAAAGGTGTCTCATGAAATTTATTGCTCTATAGTGACTGACTGCATATTAAATTGTGGACCTGAAGAAAAAAAATAGAAAGATAATGCAAGAGGATATGAAAGTAGTGCATTAAATGCTAATCATGTATGATCTAATTGATCTTTGCAAAAATATATTAATATTAAATTAAAAATAATATAGTCATTTACTCAATAAATTATTTTAATTTAAATAAATTTAACAGTTTTCTTTAAGAGATTTGAAATTTGAAAGGTATTAGTACATTTTATGAACATATGTTGCACATATCATGCATTATTAAAGAATTCTGTATACATACCCGAAATGTGTTGCTTTGTCACAAAGTTGGAAAGCGGCGTCGGCGTAAGCATAAAGATATAAAACGTTATCCTTTATGCATTTTCATGACAACATTAACTGATTAATCATGCGGTTTACATTAAATTCTCCTTGAATAGTTAAATTATATTCGAATTTGAAAGTAAATATTACTATTTGATCAATTATACCTCAATATGATTTTAAGCTCATATTAATATTAAATCTAAGTAATGACTTCGATATTATTAAATAAAAATTGTATATTAACATAAAGCAGGTTAAAATTATAAATACATGGATGAATAATAATAATATATGATTTTATTAGTCTTCTCACTTGTGTAACGAATGAAAAGTTATAAGTTCGAGTCTCCTGAGAAGCGGGAGAGAACTTCTTACGGCATCTAAAAAAGTCGAGATTTTTTACGGTTTCCATTTTGATAGAATATAAAATGATCAATTATTACATCATGATTGACATAAATACGATGTAAGTTAATCAAAAATTTCAATTAATTATCACATCCATTTTCTATTTTTGTACTAATTTTCAACGACACGTAAAATAATGTTGAGGAAAAAATGCAACGGTTTTAATTATCAACCTCAACATGAGACGGACTATTCTTGTGGAGTCCGTTGTTGAATGCAAGATATGGGCAAGCATTTAATTGAGGCGGCCTCAAGAAAATCCCGACACGTTAGGCCTCCAAGATGGACTTTCCAAGGAGGGCTCCATGCCATCTGACGGTCTTGATTTTCCCAGGTGGCCTCTTGTCCCCTTGCGATTACCGCCAGCTTTTATTGCAAGAAATTTTATACGTGGACAATGCTGGTTGGGTAAGTTTACAAGAGGTAGTGATTTTTGCCTTGATTCGACCTTAGTTGTCAGGTTACACGTGGCATATAACTGACGGTCACAGTATATTTGTGGGCCACACTATATCTTGGTGATCATCCTTGGAATCCGTGATATATAGATTATTAAATTGTGACGTGCCGCATCTGATCATCTTTAGCTCTGCATATATATTAAATTTAAAAAAAAAAAAAAGAAAACATTAAATGTACCTTCTTTTTACTTAGGATGAACGTAGAAGATATTTTGTCGATGAAAGAAAAAAAAAAAAAATTCCACATTGGGATATTTTTATGTAGAAATTCATAAGTATGTGGTTTAGCATATTAGTTAAAAAGAATATTTTTAAAATGAATCAGAAATCATACTTAACATTATACACTCCACATTACTATTATTGAAACATAATCATGATTTGATGATTTGAGTTGTAGAAACTGAAGTGGTTGCATGTGATTGAATTGTTCCAAGTAATATGGATAAGAGTAAACTTGACGTTTGAAAAGCTAGGGGTGGCAATTAGTGGGTTCGTGTTCATCTCACATTAAGTTTTAATCATGATATATGATTAATATCAATTTCAACGTCATATTTTAACTTTTATGATCATTCATATTAACTTTTATTAATATCTTTAATTAGTTAAGAGAAAGAAAAAGGTAAAATAATTTTTGTTAACTAAATTCTTAATATGCGTATTTTATCAAATTAACACAATTTATCTATTTCAATAAATTATTAAGTAAATTGATTATAGTACCCTTAATTTAATATTAATTCTCTAATAAAACCATTAAATTGAAATAAAAAATATTGGTAATATACTAAGGGTAAATATGAAAAAAAAAACATTTATTACTTTTTGAAACCATAGATATGATAAATATTTTGGAACAAACAATTTTATCAAATATAACAAGTATTATGGAAATGATGTAGTAATTTTTAAGGCCTAAATGTTTATGTGGCAATATATTAAAATATGAAAGTAATGACGTGACATTTTATTATTTTCATTATGATTAATATTTTTTATATTTAATGAAAATTAATTTTTTTTATTAAATAATGGATTTATAAACTAATAAATCTTATAGAATATTTCATTATACTTAATATATAATAAACATAAAGTTCTTCGTTAAATAGTTTTTATTTTATAGAAAAAATTAAAGGAGTTATAACAAGGTCATAATTAATAAAAATTAATTAAATTAAGAAATAGAATTAAAATATTAATTTCATTTCACTAAAATTTATATCATTAAGATTAAATAGTTTTATATTTCTTTTATTTTGAATATATGAGAATTTCAAAGAGAAAAAAATAAATAATTAACTAAGTATATCAATTGAATATCAGTAATTTAATTATAATAATTAATTGTGTTAATTAACATTTCAGTTTAATATTTGAGAATTTCAAAAAGAGAGTATAATTTTACCCTTCTAAATTTAATTAAAAATACATAAGCAAATTATTTAAATTAAAGCAATATAAGTATAAATTAAAGTAGTTTTATTGAAAATTACATTTAATTTAATTCAAAAATATAAAAATATACAATCTGGGCATCGCGCGGGTACATGAATAGTACTTATTAATTTAATTATATTACCCTTTTGCTCACCTAATTAATCTAAGAGGAAAAAAAATAAAAAATTAATAGGAAAAAAATAATAAAGTGATAAAATAAGTTTTAGAAAATTTTAGGGAAATGTTACTGTGTTTAATAAAGATAAAAATAATTGAAAAAAAATTATTAATACAACTTAATCTTCTTAAAGCCACATTTAATTGAGAAATCACCTACTACTACTGGGCTTAGACTCTCCCTGCTGTCAAGGGTTATGGTCTTTTTATCTTGGGCCTACTGAGATGCGCTTTTTAAGAAACTATGAAAAGCTAATTAAGTATTTTTAGCCCAACTCCCTCACTCCTTCGACCATTTTATGCTGGGCTGTGAAAGAAAAAACTTTACTTGAGATTGAAGATACCTCTTCACCAGGGATTTTTCAAATAAGAGAAACTGAATATGAAAAGAAAATATAAAAATAATGAAACTATTTAAAAAAAAAAAAAACAAATGAGGTACCTGTTAATATTAAATGTAATGGAATGAAGAATGAAATGAAAAATAGAAATATAAATTTCTTTTCCTGTGTTTGGCATGCGGGATAGAGCAGAAATTCTAATATCTATTTCTTCGTTTAATTAGAAAAATAATATGATGAATTGCTAAAAAGACTAAAATATTTTTAAATAGCAATATTATTAAATAATTTAATTTATTAAGATAGACAATATCTTTTCTTCTAAAAAAAAGAGAATTATTTCCTTTTTCCTCTTCATATTATTTATTAGTAACTCAATTATTCTGATTCTTCCAACTTTATAATATAAATATTGCTTCTCATTCTTTTCCTTCTGTCCCAACTTGTGGCAATCATTTATTTATCACTAATTAAATCATATAAAGAATCAAATTCCCAAATTTGGTCTGTGCATTCATCATCACAAACTTGCCATGTGGGTCCATAAATAACTGATATAAAAAATAAATCAATGGCCAGGATTTCATTTAAGAATCACACTACCAATCCGTCCTGCTATAAAATTTTCCCGCGCTTTCAGTAACCGACCCGCGAAATTTAAAATGGAAAACAATTGTGGATAATATTAAGTGGGGCCACGTTTCAAGTCCACGTAGACAAATGGGTTCCCTATTTCGACACGTGGATGTAAATTATTGCTTCGGTGTAACTCTCTCCACCACAAATTCGGTGTCCCTCGTCCAGAACCCTCTACCGAGTTTGAGTTTCTTTCTTGAAATTTGAAACTCCCAATCTTTAATATTTATTTATTTTCCAAAAATATATAAATAATACATAACCCACCAAACAAACATCGATTCTTGTTTTCGTTTTCTTGTTTGCGATGGAGAAAGAAGGGTCTTGTGATGGTTGCGCCACCCCTAAACGCAGGGAATGCAGGATACCAGAGCCGAGGGAGTGTCCGCCGCCGCCAAAGAAAAGGCCGTTGAGAGTTGGAAAGAAGAAGGAGCCTCCCAAGAACGGGTATTTTCAGCCTCCTGATCTTGAGCTTCTTTTTGCTATGAATTCAAGAAACCAAGCTTGTGCCTGATTAGAGTTGGTTGTTTGGGTTGATCATTTTGATTAAGAGAAGCTAGAACTGTACGTAGATACAGTTTGTAAATACACTATCTTGCTTTTGCTTCTCTGTTTTTGCTAACTTCTGATCAACTTATGGTGTAAAGTAAATTATATGCACTCGCATGTTCCGTGCGAACGATTACGTCGCCGTTTTGTTCAATCTTAATTATGCAATTTTTTGTTCCCTGTAGTTTTTCCAAACCCTGATAGGAACTTGTCATCATGTCTATTTGTTTTAAAAAATTGCGGGAATTGAATTTATTTCATTTGTTATTTATTTTCCATAATTTTTTTTTTGCAATGCTATTGAAAATTATATTACAATACGATAAAAATAAACCTATCAATTAGAATTACAGCTGTTCATCAAAGGACATCTGAGGACAATTAGAATTAATTATGACTATAATAATAAGTTCATTTTAGAACGGTCTATGAAAAGGTGGGCATGACCAGTATGAGAAAGAAATATGGAATTTATAATTATAAATACCACTTAAAGGCAGGAATGGCTGAGTTGAGAATGGAGTATGGAAATTTTAGGTCTCAGGCCATCAAATGGCTAAAGAATGGTTTCCTACTTTCAGTCGTTTTGCTGCGATAATAGTCTAAAAATTAAATTTGTGTGTCGTTGGCGTTTGCGTCTTCCTCGCTGTTAGGTGGGCTGGGCCTGATGGCCTGAATTAGCCTTTCTCATAATTTAGTAACTTTTTTAAACTAATTAGTAACTTTGAACCAATTTTCTCTTAACTTTTTTTTTTTATTATTGTTTAGCTTACAATATGTATTTCTGAAAGTTTTTTTTTTACTACTTTTAACATTTTTAATTTCAATAAAAAGGAAGAATCTAATTTCGTTTAGAATTAATTAAAATTTTAATTATTTAAAAACAATTTCGTGTTAAAAAATTAGGTACTATAATAAAAAAAGAATTTGATTTTGTTTCAGATTTAGAATTCTTATTTTCGTTTTTAATAAAATAAAAATAACAATTATTTTTTATTATTCAAAAATATTTAAAAATTAAGTGAAAAAATAAAAAATGTTGAATTACATTATTATCTAAAAAATGAATAAAAAAAGAAGATAAAAGATAGTGACTGTATTCAAATATAAATAGGTTAACGCTTATCCAATTAATATGATGGGTACATCCACTAACGAGTTGTTAATTAGGATGGTAAATATTATTTATGAGAGTGGTAAATAATTTTAATTTTGTAAAACAAGAATCACACAACTGATTTGTTAATTAAAATAATATAATTAACTATTTAATTACACAACAATCACAAATTTTGAGCGTGGGTTTACAACTGGATCCAACCATTCCATAAAGCAACATTAATTGGGTGTCAGCTGAGCAAATCGGTAAAAATTTACCGGTTAAGTGGGTTTTAAATTTTTCTGTCATATTTTTAAAAAGATATTCATTTTATTAGGACGTCTCGAAGGTTAAGGATGATAGAGGAAAATGGGTATAAGTCTAGGGACACCAGAGTAAAATTAAGGCATGTTTCTCATAAACCACGAAAATATCCATTATCCTTCACTAATTCACTTCTCCAAAATAGTGTTAGCCACTGTGTCTCCTCCGTTGTTCTCTTCTATTTTTCATTTTTTCTATTTTTTTTATTCACTACACGCACACATCCGGATCGATTCCTTTGATCTGGAGGAGAGCGGAGAGATACTTTGAATATCTCCCAGATTAGCTGTTCAAAATCCAGGTAAGTGCGTATTTTCTTTGGCAAATACTGTAATAGAGGTCATAGGACTCATGAATTTTTCTTTGAATTTTTCTCGTTTTGAACGTACTCTTTATTTCCTCCTCCTTTACATTTTATAGTCAATAATATGGTCAGAACTATCTATGATTATTGTTCTTCATCACGTATTGTTTGATGTGTGAAGGAGAGAAATCATTTGGGATATTTCGTTATCATCTCTGTTTTGATCTATTTGCTCTTTTAACTGGTACACGTTGATTGCCTTCAGGCCCTATCACATATTTGTTTCTTTGAACCCTGTTTAATGCAGTCTTAAGGTCTTCAGGTGCTTGTGCATTCTTCTCCCTGCAAACATGTACTGATGATGTACATGCCTGTAAGCTTCTGCACATAAAGAATATGGAAATGAGTCAGTAGCATTAGATTAAGTTTGAACTTAATTGATGAGGTGAAGTGGTGAATATGATGCTTCACTTGGAATGCACTATTTTTTTAATTGAAATGTTAATAGAGAATGAAGATCAATCTTTGGTGACTAGCGGAAACATATACGTGCTGCGTAATGCTATAGTCTGGTGGCCTTGATTTAGTCTTTGCCAATTCTTATCAGTAGAAGGAATTTGCATTCCATATTAAATATTGAATTAATATGGTAGTATATTTCGTCTAATGTAATTACTTCGTCTTTACATTTAACATAAATATAAAATTATTTCGTCTTTACAAAAATTAAATATAAAATCCCTTTATTTTGTCTTGTTACCCAACATCAGAGATATGATATAATAATTAATTATCTATGCATTTATTTAAAAGATAATTTTTATAAATTATATCCAATAAATTAAAAAACTGTAATTTTTTGACTGACTTAAGGGTTTTAGGACATTTTAAATTTTATTAAGGGTGATATAGAAAATCTTATTTTTCCTTCTTATTTTCGCATTTATATAGATTAATTAAATTTCATTAATTAATAATAATAGCTTTCCTATCCTGTGGGCTTAAAATATTCTCTTCTGAACATTGATGAGTTGGGCCGGGCTCATTTGCAATTGTTGCATTTTATTATTATGAATTTCAGCTATTCAGGTTCTAACTTGGGCCAACATATGAATCCCCGCTCAGAAAACCCAATTCAAACAGAAACGTTTCTCCGCTCTGGGCTGTTTCGCGGTCGTCCGCATCGTTAAGGTATTGCGTGCCCGTCATCTCCGTTTTCTGGGGGATTCAATTTCAATTTCAATTTCATTTGCAATTTTACATTCTGAAGACAATTAATTTAGGGTTTTGGAAAGGGGAACCTAGAAAAATGCCTCGATACAAAAAAGATCCTCCCGTAATTCGCGTTTATACTGTCTGCGATGAATCAAGGTCATTGTCTATTGTCTCAAACGCCATTGGAACTCTCATAATTTCAATTAATATTAACCCTTTTTTATTTTCTGGGTATCAGATATTTGATTGTGAGAAACGTTCCCGCTTTAGGATGCGGCGATGAGTTGTTGAAACTTTTTGCTACATATGGAGACATTGAAGAGTGAGTTCTTTTCTCCTCCTGTGTTTTCGTTTCCATTAATTTCCTCACATAGATATTTTAAATTTTGTTATTTTGTTATTTTTTTTCAGTTTTAAACCTATGGATGCTGAAGACTCTGAACCATTTACTGATGTTTACTGGATCAAATTTCGTTTGGTTAGCAATGCCAGGTGATTGGAATTGAGATTGTTAATCATTTTTGGTGGTAATAATTGAATGTAGCAGTATTTTTGAATCACTTTTAGTTTACAGGTTTGCAAAGAGAAAATTGGATGAGTTTGTTTTTCTGGGGAATAAATTGCAGGTCTCGTATGCACCTCAGTTTGAGAGCCTTTCTGATACAAAGGACAAGTTAGAAGGAAGAAGAAAGGAAGTACTCGCAAGATTGAATTGTCAGTTTCTATATCTTTTAATTATATACCTATGAATATAATAATTCTTGCATTTTGTTAATTAGTGTCTTATGTATATTGTCTTATCTCATTTCAGCTGGAAGATCCAATGGGCTTAAAGTTCATAGTCCGGTTGTTTCAAGTGAGACTTCATTGCTTGCAGCTTCCTCACAGACTGACTACATTTCTCAGCATATAAACTCCAACGGGGTTTTGTAATTTTTTTAAACTTGATATCCTATTATCTGCTGTAGAAGCTTTCTTGGTGGTTTAGGTTTTTTACTATATTGGATTTGATAATAAGTCTATATCTTGCTTTTTGAAGGGACTCTGTAGGATCACAACATATAAACAATCCTCCTATAGCACGGGTTTCCTCCGACCAGGTTTGTTGCTCCTGTTTTACTGACATTTGGATACTCTCTCTTTTTTCTTTTTCTTATCCTATCTTTTTCTAGGATGTATTTTAAGGTCCATAACTGTTTTCTTATGTTATTAGGTGCATAGAAATATCCTAGGTGTTTTGGCCTGATAAATTTAAGTGATTTGAATGGCTTGATTACGGTTTGTTGTACAATGGGTAGGTTCGTGATTGGATGAGCTCTCCTGATTGCCTAAACCCTATTTTGTATTTGAATTGCAGAGTCAAATTTCAACACATAAAATGCAGCGCTTATCTGTGAAAATTTGTGTTTAATGCCTGATTAATAAGATAAATCATTGAAAATTCAACATTACTTTTACGCTTGTGGAGGCTGTTTATAATTTTCATTATTGTCTTTATTCACAGGAATATTTCCCTTCAGACTCGATGAATCAAACTGTTAAATTGGTCAGGGAAAAACTTAACAAGGTGATTAATCTGCATGCTATTCTTTTAAAAATCTTTTGTTGAATCTTATAGAGATTAATTCCTCTTTGTATCTTATAGATTCAATCGAGTACTGAACATATACAAGGTGGGTCTGCTCCCAAGAAGACAAGAATTGACAATAGAAGAAGAATCTAATGGAACTATTATGATATTCAGAGTTTTGTTTTTGGACTAGTTTCAGCTGCCCTTGACGTTCTGTCGCTACTATGAAATGATAGGTACTACAAAATGGCTGATTGTTTTGAGCTCTTTTTGTGTAAAATGTACATAAACAACTGCTTGATGCAACTCTGATTTATTTATGAGTCAGAAGATCATTTTGCCCATGAAATGTATTTCTCTTTTTTGAAACAGAAGCAATTTGAAAATCTACAAATTATATATTTTTGATGCAATGAGAAGGTAGATTAAATAGAAGCATGAGTTTGAAATGAAGCTAATCAAAATCAAATCACTGGTTAACAACTAATTTTTCAGGTAAGGAAACCCTTTAACATATCTCACAGCACGAAGATTGTAGGTAACTATTTGAGTGATTTACTCTGTAATTTTGGACAATTATACTTGAACACTAGAAGTTTTGATCAACTGGAAAGACGCCTATTAACATTTCACAGTCTTTACATAAACTAAATGCCTACAAGGCATTAACAACATGCACACCTCCTTGGATTTGTAAGCTCTGCAGGTCATGTGATCCTTCAAGCCGCCTTGGTAATTCCCAGAGAGAGCTGAGAATGGAATATGGAATTTTCAGCTCTCAGGCCATCAAATGGCTAAAGAACCATTTCCTAATTCATTCGTTTTGCAGAGATAATTGGTTAACCCTTTGTTTGGAACTTATGGCATTATACAAAATTTGTATAGAATTTATTTAGAAATCTATATTTTTATATTTGTAATGAAAAGAAACGTAGATTTCAATTTTTGAAATTCAATTCCTCGGAATTAAATATATAATTAAACTAAATTTCACAAAAATTGGATCAATTTTTATGACAAAACTACCCTTCTCCTCCTGCAAAGTCAATTTTTCAATTTTTACTTATTTAGTTTATCGACTAAAACCATTTAAAAATTTATTTTTTTAGAAAAATATTTTTTTATTATTTTTTTATTATTTTAATATTTTTTTTAGCATTTTGACTATTGAGGAGAAATATTCAAATTAAATATACATTTATCACTAAATTAACTGTAATAATTTTATTAATATTGTTTTTTTTATACATTTATTTTAATAAAAATATTAAAAAAGTTATATAGCATAACAAAAGTTATATAGAGCATAAAAAAATATAATTTAGTATTTATTATTTATTTTTTATGAAAATTAATTATTTCAAGGATTATTTTTAGAAAATAAAAGCAAATGAAATTTTTCAAATATTAAAATTTTAAAAAGTTATATAGCATAACATAAATATAATTAGTATTTATTATTTATTTTTTATGAAATTATTATTTCAAGGATATTTTAGAAAATAAAAGCAAATGAATTTCAATTATTAAAATTTATTCCATTATGTGAAGTTCAATTAAATTACATATTATAAATTAATCATACAAAACATGAAAATTCATTCACAAATATAATTTTTTTTGAAATAAATTTTATATTTTGAATTTATTTATTCCAAACGGATGGTAAAAATTAAATTTGTGTGTCTGCTGATAACTTGCGTCTTCCTCACTGTTCGGTGGGCTGGGCCTGAGGGCCTGAATTAGCCTTTCTCATAATTTAGTAACTTTTTAAAATTAATTAGTAACTTTGAAACAATTTTCTTAACTTTTTTTTTTATTTTTTAGCTTACAATATATACTACAGATAGCTTTTTTTTTTTTTAGTATTTTTAAAAATTTTGGTATTAAAAAAGTCAGATAATTTCAATAAAAAGGAAGAATCTAATTTCGTTTAGAATTAATTAAAATTTCAATTATTTAAAAACAATTTTCATGCTAAAGAATTAGATACTTTCAATAAAAAAAAGAAGAATTTGATTTTGTTTAAGATTTAGAATTCTTATTTTCGTTTTTAATAAAGTAAAAGTAACAAAAGTATTTCTTATTATTCAAAATCTTTAAAAATTAAGTGAAAAAATAAAAAATATTGAATTACATTATTATCTAAAAAATAAATAAATAAAAAGATGATATAAGATAGTGACTACATTCAAATATAAATGGGTTAATGCTTATCTAATTAGTACAATGGGTACATTCATTAATAAAATGTTAGTTAGGGTAGCAAGCGCTTTCAATCCCCTAAAAGTAAGAATGCAAGTTCAATTCCGAAAACTTTTATGCTCCTTATCCCGAATGGAATAATATAATTAAAAATTAAAATAACCACTTTAAATGTAATGAGTCTAACCACTTTTTGTTAATTAAAATAATATAATTAACTATTTAGTTATCCCTCAGAATAGAATAGAATAATAGCTAATAGTATTAATACAAAAATTAATCCTAGATGAATTAAAATATTAACCTACATAAAATTATAAATAAATAAATATTTCTTTTTTTTATATAAAAAAAAGGCAAACAAGCGGCGCAAACTATCATTATTCGTTAAGAGAGACCCCAAGAAGAAGAGTAGTAGTGCAAGCCATTATATATATTTTCTGTTGGACTATACTTTATATAATTAAACACACTAAGAAAAAAAAATTAATTAAGTTAATCATGTCAGTATCGAGTTAAACCAAAATTGATTCTCCGATTAAATTATTAAAAAATAAAAGAAAGAAAGGGTCACTTTCTGATGCGTGTTTAGCTTTACACGTAGCCCACACGTTGTGATGCCAATTAGCAGCTAATTAGAATCATGATTAAGCATAAAGTATCGTCTCTTAATTAATCAAGTGCCACTTATTATGAATTGCGCTTCGCTTTTTTCCTAAAACTCGGATTTGATGCCACTCCCATCACATTTTATACACGTTTGGACACAATTATAGTATGGTCGAATTTTTGTTTTTTAGTCATTGTTCTTTATAGGTTTGCTATGCAATGAAATCAATCTTTTTTTTTTTTTTCAATAATTTAATGGTAAGTTACTGTAAAGTCCATGAAATTTGACTTAAATTACTATATCATATTTATCATTCGGAGAAAATTGATGTTTGGCTTTATTAAACTACTCAATTCTCTAGTCTAATAAAGTATATTTTCTGGATATCGAACTTTTATTCTCATATCTACAGGAATTAAAACTCGCTTACTACCCTAATTAAAATGCCCTAATTATGTACAATATTTACAAATGCTGGCCTTAGTCTCAATTTGTCCTTCCTTCAATTCTGTTATATTGTTATATTGAACCTTTTATTTAGGCTTAGTTTTTTGAGTCGCCATCAACAATCATATATTTTATAGGAAAAAAATACAGTATGATCTCCGTGGTTTTGTGAAATAAAACTAGTTTGTCTCTATTTTTTTTTAAATATGCTAATTTTCCTTATGTTTTACTTTTATTACACTACTAGGTCATTTTTTCAATTTTTTGCATCTTTTCTGTTAAGTTAACAAGAAAACACACAGGTCAAAGGAGAGATACTAAAATACTATATCAATCAAAAAAATTAATTAGTCCGTCGCTGTGTTTTTAAAAATAAAAAGGTTATTTTCATTATTTTATAATTTACTTAACAAAAAAATATAAAAATTATATAAAAGAACCTTATAGTCTGACGGAAGTAAATTATAAAAATATTTTAATCTATTTTAAAAAAAATAATGATAGACTAATTGTACTATTAATAATTCTTTAAATTAACTATAAATATATGAATATAAACTATTGAAAGCAATTAATAATATATTCTAATTGAACGCTGAAATTGTAAAAGTACAGTTAGAGATGTAAATTCTTAATCAAGAGATCTAAATTATTTTGAAGTTAATTAATTAATAAAGTCCAGTGGTACCTATACATTGCCAATGAGTGGAATAAAATGAAGCGAAATAATTATTTCTTCTGTCAGCTATATTAAACTTTTTAAATTCTTTAGTCGAATTTAGTCTAGTAGTCAAAGTGCACTAGATTCTATTCTGGTGATCACAAATCAAGTAGTAGAATATGCATCTTGAGAAGTGGCTTTAAAACATAATCATTTTCCGGTCTTAAAGGGATTAGTCTTTCATATAATACTTTAAACAGAGAATGAGAGGACACCCTTGATAAAATCGAAAAAAAAAAAAAAAAGAAAACTCTTCAATTCTTTATAAAATTATTTTTTATATAAGTAATTGATTTCATTTATGCAAAACATAATTATTTGATTTGTACTCCATTCTTCTACTTTATTCTCAATGAATATCTTTTTTATTTTTCTAAAAGAACAATTAAATCAAGGAATTATCTATGCTGAGGTGTATGGGCACAACTCATACATCAACTCAATTAAAAATAACTTTTTTTTAATCAAACGAGGATATTTTTAATGATACACTAAAAAAATAAAATAGTAAAAATTCTTTTTCAATTGGTTCAGGCATATGAATAATTTTGTATATTATCCAAAATTTTAAGTCATTCTATATAGAATGTTTTTATGATGAGTAAGAAAAGGAAAAAGAAATAATCTGATAAATTGCTAATCAAGAGATGTAGCGAAATTTCAGGTGACGGAGTCTCTAATTGGAAAAGGTTGATGAGGTGAGATATAGGTGTGGTGTGGTAAGCGAGAATCATTTGAGAGAACAGCATTACATATCTGGGGTCATATCATTCTTGATTTGCCCCCACAGTCCACATGAAATGCTTTCTTTATTTTTTATTTTTAAGTAATATATATCTATAAAAATGATTTAGACTTTCAACCAGCGAACAATTAGGTCAGTTTAATATTAAAATTATCAATAGTTTTGAATTTTGATAAAAATACAGAATATTATTCGGTTGGGAATTTTAGTATGAGCTTTAAATTTTATTTTTTTTTAAATCAGATATTTTAAATAAAAAAACTATATTTTAGAATACTGTATCTTTTTATCAATAATATCTGCTCTGTTTATAATATCAATATTAAGGCACAATTTAGTGCATAATTTTTTTTTTTTTTTTTTTTTTCATAATATCGGCCTCTGTTTAATAATATCAATATTTAAGGCACAATTTAGTGCATAATTTTTTTTTTTTTTTTTTTTTTTTTTTTTTTTTTTTACGTAATAAGGAGGTATAATCCTTTTTTATCTATAGTATAAAGATTTTCGCTTTTTCAAGCAAAGTGTTCTTTGGAGATCAAATTTATCCATTCTCATCTTGATGGGAATTAATATCGATCACCGTGGTAATAGATAGACTTGAGTCCGGATAAATTTTTTATATATATAAAGGTCCCTTGGTGACGTGCGATTAGTTATTCTTACTCAACTCTCAAAAGCAGCAAGCTTATCTAATTTGTTACTTTGTGTATAATTGTATTATATCTTAGTAGTTCTTATTTGGACACCTGTTTATTTAGAAGTGGGCTATGTATGGACTCCTTAAATCTTTATTAATTACTCAATTAATTATTCAACTTGTATATATGTTAACTTAGACCAATCATATCTAATCTCTTCTCTCTATATATACCCTCTTTTTCTATCTGAACAATCCTCAATCGCCGTCTCCTCCATTTATTGTTGTGGGCCAAATAATTCTTTCTGCTACATTGCTTATCCATTTCTGCTTTTTACCCTAGTTCTTAATTATTTAATCTAGATAAGTGGATCTATGTTTTAGGTACCTGAACAATGATTTACTGAGGTGGGTTTTGTTTTGATCAAATCATTAGCTTTTCTTTTCTTTCTTTCTTCTTTAAACCTTTGGGTTAATGGGTTCTGTTGCTTTAAAATTAAGTTTAGGGTTTAAGGTTAGTTCAATACTTTGCTTAATTTGCATGAGCAGACCTCAAGAACCATCATCAGTCAGTATTGGCGGATGCAGCACCATCAAGATTCACAACTCCACGGCGGAGCTACGGTGGCCCTTTCTTATATATGAATATGAGAATCTTGATGATGCTGCATCAGCAAATATATGACTTCACATAGGTATAAACACTCGTATATATAGATTTGCTCGATCAAGTTCAACTCACTTGTGCTGATCAGTCACAGCCCATAATATTCCAAATATCATTAAGGTAAAGTTTCTTTTACATAATCTCAAGTTAATTATGGGTTTTGCTGATATAGCATGCACATGCTTTTCCAATATATATATATATATATATATATATATATTCACTTACCTCTTGCTTGGTAGAGCTTATCTGCTATAAGTTTACTTTTTTTTTTTTTTTGATATATATATTCACTTACCTCTTGCTTGGTAGAGCTTATCTGCTATAAGTTTACTTTTTTTTTTTTTTTAATATACAGTTCTCTCATATTTCAATAAGCTAGTTTTACTTTACTGTTCTAACTTTCAATAAATCTATTCAAGCTAGTTAGCTAGGGTTTTCTTGAAAGTTAACATGCTTGTATTTACATTTTGTGATGTTAGATTGTTCTTGAATTTTCAGGCCATAAGAAATAACGATTTCTAGTACACTGGTTAAAGAGCATATAGGTACACATATGCTGTGGATAATAATATGTACTTAACAATATTAGAATCAAAGCAGAAATAGTTGATTTTATGGTTCACTAATATGTGGTGTTTGTCTGTTTCACTTCTGCAACTTTTTTTTTTTATTTAATCATGAGGTGTCCAGACTCATATCCGTTTAACATCCTATTATTTTCCGTTTATCTTAGACTCATGGGAGCTGGCCCATGGGTGCAACTTTTCTTCATTGACGTGGGTGTGGGTAGATACGCATAGATATGATGGGATATATTTCTGGTAAGTTGAATATTTGTACTGTATTTTTTCTTTTACCAATATTTGAATTATAACTCATATATTTACGGGAATGAGATTTTGAAATTATTATTGGAATCAAAATCAAAATCATATATTATAGAAAAACAATCTTTTTAATTGTAATTCTTTATTGGCTGGAGCTGTTACCTCCATGATTATCTACAAACCCTATATCTTAGAAAGTCTTTTCCTATATATGTTTACTTTCAAAACTAGCGTTTGAAAGTGTTTCTCTTTATAATTATATAAATTATAGTGCACTTGTCAATTTAGCCGTTAATTCCACAAAACATCCACATCTCTGTGACCTTTTATCCTTTCATATTTACGAATTTTGCTAATATTGTATCACTCTCTACACTACTAATAACATTTTAATTTTGGTGTTTCTCGATTTCTTACTAATAGTTTAGTCTATGATTTAATATCTATCACTACAAAAAAAACGCCATTTTGCGACCGACAAATCGGTCGCAAAATGGCAAAAATCGGTCGCTATTTATACTTTGCGACCGAAATCGGTTCCTATTTAAATCGGTCGCTATTTGTACTGTGCGACCGACTTTTGTCGGTCGCAAAATCACTGGTCGCAAATATAAATTGCGACCGATGAGAAAATCGGTCGCAAATCAGAGACCGATAAGTCGGTCGCAAAATTGAATAATCGGTCGCAACTTTTGGTCATGATTTAATTGGAAATTCAGTCGCAAATTTGGTCGCAGAATATCGGTCGCAAATTTTTAAAATCAGTCGCAAATCGGTCGCAATTTATAAATTCAAAAATTTTTTTTTGGTATCAAATCGGTCGCAAATCGGTCGCAAAAATGAAAAGGGAATAAAAAAAATTAAATATTATGAAACCAAAAATTTTTCTACAACAGCCTGTGAAAGTTGACATACAATGCATATATACACACAACGCAATTCAAGAACAGTATAAAATGTATTTTTATTGTTTCTGAAACAAATTAAAAAAATGAAAATACAAATGAAAAAATAAAAATCGGTGTGGGCTCACGACCTAATTCTTTAGCCTGTAATGAATTTTTATGCATGATATATTAATATATATATTGTCCTTTCATTAAACATCAGTTTCTTGCAAAGGGACTAGTTCACTTACTAATAATCGAGCTGTCTCTATAGCAGATATAGATCCGCCTGTGTGTCGCGAAGGTCCTGCTCCATCCCCGCCAGTCTCACTGCGCCTGTTTTGTGCAAACATCTCCCGCTTTCTCTTGAATGCAGGATCCTCCCAAGCCTTTTGCCAGCTCTCCCATATCTCCTGAGACACGCACCGTTGTTTCTTACCGCTTCTTCTCATCCTATAGGTGAAGTCAGCGTATCGATCGGCGCATATCTTCTCCCAGGCTACTTTCAGCATAGCCGTAATGACTATCAATCGCAAAAGGAAAGACACTCAATAAACACTTCTATAACATTATCACAACATTCTCCAAAGGCAAAATGGCCACTACTAGGCCTCCAATCCAAACTCATCATTAACAGGACTTGCTCAAACAACAATTATCACAACAAAGTGGCACGTTAGGATAGTTAGGATAAAAAACTGCAGCACTCATTACAATTATCACAACCCTGATTCAAATTCAATTTCAATTAACCTAAAACGCAAAATTCAATTCTAGTGAGGGTTTCTTTTTAATTTTAACTTAGGCAGTAGTGGAGGAAGTACATGTTGATAATTACTATAACTAAACAACGCGCGTATTTATAAAAGCCCATAATTCTTTGGGCCCTTTAAACCATCGCCTTATTAAATTGGGCCCCAATGAGCCCACCTCTATCTTTTCTTGTTAACTAGCTGTTTAACTTTTTCTTTTTTTATTTAACTTATAATGTTAAAATTATTTTATAAAATATTTTAATTGAAATATATTGAAAGCATTTTCAAACAAGTTGTCGTTATCCATTAGAAACGGTGAAAATTATTAAAAAATAAATTAACAAAACACCACTTTTGTCAATGCAACTGTAACAACAATGACAAGTAAGTTTATTATTGAGAATGACAAATAAATTTTGTTGTGTTCAACGTATTTTATCTGATATTGACGTAAGATGTTAGACTTTGCGAAATAATTTCTGAAAGTGACATAATTATTAAATAAGAGTTGGTGCCACATTATTTCAAATTAACCAATTATTAAAAATTAATAATAAAAAATATTTAGATATTGATGTAAAATATGCTAATAGAATCCCCAAAATCAATACTTTTCCTCATCCAGGTTAACAATTACGTTTGTGAATCTTTGTTTGTTGTTTATTACAATTATAATTTTATTATCTATTAATTAATTAATTTTATTAAATAAATTTTAAAGAATTTTTTTTAATGTTATTTTGGAATCTTTGGTACGTATTGATGTTTTACCAAAACTCCCATCCCTCATTATGAGGGTTTATTCTAAGTTCATAGAAAATAAATTATTCATGTATAATTATTGATATAATTATTATATATATTTTAATAAATTTAAATGAATGCCGATTTAAATTTGTATTTTTTAATTTAAATAATTTACTTATATGATTTCAGTTAAATAACAAAAGATTGATATTATATGAATCATTACTTAAATATGATCATTTTCTGCCATAAATAAATTGAAATATTTATTATTGTAATTAAATTATTTTAATTCAACTGACATAATTATTTATTTTTTTTTCATTTGAAATTTCATATATTCAATTCAAATCCTTATTAATTTTTTTTATAATTACAGGACCATTAATAAAGATTAATGATTAATGCAATTTAATCTTAATGAAATGAAATTTATTTTATTTTATTAGTTAATCTTGATTATATAAATCCATTATTTGATTAAATGTTATTAATTATATAAACAGTCACAGTAACAATAATAATTAAATCGAAATAATAATATTAACAATAATAATAAATTTGAAAAATTAATAACAAGTACAACATTAACAATATTAATAATATTAACCAATAATAACAGTAAACCAATAATAATAAATTGAAAAAAAACACAAAAAAAATCGCAAAAAAAAAATTTCGAAAAAATAATAACAGTAACAACATTAACAATTATTAACAATTAATAATATACAGAATTAAACATAACAATAATAATAAATTGAAAAAAAAACACAAAAAGCGCAAAAAAAAAAAAAAAAAATGGAAAAAATATAAAAATGGTCACCAGCTTAACCTCAAAATGTGTCCAAACGGTCGAACGCCGTAGAGGAGTGACTGGAGCGTCAGCACCGGTGGCGGCGTCACAGTGGCTGGAGCTTCTCAGGAGGCTGGAGGCCGCTGCGGACGGCAGAGAAGAGAGGAAGAAGGAGAGGAGAAGAGAGGGAGCAGGAGAAGGAGAAGAGAGAATGAAGAAAAAGGAAATAGAAAAGAGGGCGCGTTTAAAGCCCTAATATTTGCACCGACTAATCGTCGCAAATGTCATTCTAAATCGGTCGCAAATTTTAATGTCCGACGTCGTTTAATAGCGCCAAAAATTTGCGACCGATCTTGAACTGAATATTCGGTCGCAAAAAAATCACGGTCGCCATTTATCTTCATTTCGTCTCAGATGTGGTCCCTTTTTTTGAGGCGCCCATTTTGGCGACAGAAAAACAAAGTTTCGCAAAGCGGTCTCAAAATCGGTCCAAATGCGCAGTAGATTCAGTCGCAAAACGGAAGGCAATCCCGCGCGAGTAATTCAGTCGCAAACTGAAAGGCAATCCCGCGCGAGTTTTCCGCGCTAAAATCTGTGACTGTTTACCAATCAGTCGCAAATTGGTATCCATATTGCGACCGAATTTTGTCGGTCGCAAAAATTGGTCGCAATTTGAAGTTTTTTTGTTAGTGTATGATCTTCGATAATTATTTTTTATATGAAAAAGGTAATTAGTTGGGACTCTTGACAAGTATGCACTCAATGTCAAACTTGAATTTTAAGATTTTGACTAGATCTCTGTAAAATCTAAAACTTTTATTTTGAGTATCGGTAGGATATGAGTATTACTGTTACAAACTCCAATCTGATTTTAAAAAATTATGAAACTGTTACCTGAAATTCTAAACTTAAGAGATGTGAGAAATTATGATTTTTTTAGAATTATAGCATGAAAATTAAAAGACTGAAATTTTTTTAGTAAATTATCTATAAAAAATTACAATTTGAATTTTATTGCGATATAATGCAGTCAGTTTAGTTTTCATATATTAATTTGATTTTGTTAATTTTTTTCAAGTTTTGAATTCAAAGTTCAATTTTTAATAGTTGATTTAAATTTCAGTTTCATGAGCAATGAAATAGCTCCATTATTATAACAATGGTAAAAGTAGCTATAGCTATTACCTCTCTTGGCACAAACTTGTTGGAACTTCTAAAAACAAATTCATTCATCACATATAAGGAAAATGGTTACAAAAATTTTTTAATCTTACTGAAATAATTATTCATGCATATATAATAAGTATTATGCTCAATTATGTTATCTTTAATTAATTCTTGCATGTCTTCAATCATTATCAAACTCTTCAATTCATCAATTTCAACTTCAATTACCATTATTGAAATTTAGTTTTTTTTGCTTAAAAATACTTCATATTAATTAAAAACTTAATTAATTTTAGCTTCACCTTTAATTACAACCGTAACACCCACTATTCGGTCCTGTAGAACTAGATAGTAAGTATCACATCCCGTGCTAGAAGTATGTACTGATCTATTTCATTATTTCAATAGTGCAGAATTAAGAAAATAATTTAGTTGAAAAGATGAAGTGTTGAATTTATTAACATTAGGAATTTTAGCGGAAGATGTGGTAAAAACTTATTAGCTCTAAATCCAATTGAACTTAAAATTTTTCTTTAACACAAGTTATAAACTTAATTGTTCAACGATAATTAATATAACAAAACCAGTAAAAATAAAATTCACAAAAGAATGTCCAAAAATTTACAACTACTTACCATAAACTTTGTGTTGTCTTAATATACATTGCATTTGTTACTTTCTACAGAAACTCCACCTCCAACCAAATTTTATAGAATCATCTCAAACTTCATTATCACTTGTTAGCAGGCATCCATTATACCATTATATTTGTATAAGTATTGGAACTTTCCATATATAGGATTTCTTCGGTAAAATTAGCGTTTTGGTAGCTATTAGCTGTTTTAGTAACTTTTTATAAAATTTAAAAGTTAAATGTTATATGAATTAACTTTAACTCTGTTAAAATTTGAGAGAGCATTTAGAGTTTTGATTACGTCAAAACATTATTTTTATAAATTATGTCGTTCAATAAGGTAGTATATAAAATAGCTGTCAGTAGATAAAATAACGTTTATTAAAGCATTAATCCATCTAATATTTATCATTTCCATTTTTTGATTAAAAATGTTTTGATAATTATATCCTTAATTAACTTATATTATTCTTAATTAACTTATATTAACAATAGTTTAAATTAAGTCTTTCTTTCCAATGGTTGCTAAGGTACTGGAAGCTAATATCTAATAGTTAATAGCTGTTAAAATTAAAACAGCTAATAGCTCGTAAAACCACTAACAGCTAGGGCATGGTCGATTCAGTGAACCGCCGATTCGAGATGTTTAAAATTTTGAATCGAAATCGACCCTTGAACCTCCGGTTCCGACACGGTTCGGCACGGTTCCGATAAACCGACGGTTCGAATTACGGTTCCGATTCGATTTCGGCATTACGTAAATTTTTAAAAAAATAATAAAATTTACGTAAATTTTTTAAAAATAATAAGTAAAATTACTTTTGATTCCGAATTCATAAATAAATAATAATTTAAAATGTTTTAAATTTTATTAACTAAATAAATTATTAAAAAATTTAAAAGGAAAAACTTCTATTAACTAACTTAGAACTATATTACATAAATTACCAAAATTTTGCTAACTTCACTATTATAAAGACTATTAAGATGAATATAAAATTAATGAAATGATTTGGTAAAATTATTATTTTCAAATACTAAGAAAATTATTAAAAAAAATCAAATGAAGTAAATTTTATGAATGGGAAACAAATTGGAAATTTAGAAGAAAGAATTTGGTGGAATGGATGCAAGAAATAAAAAATAAAACAATAGTAATTCAAAATTAAAGGAAAATAAAAGCAAATTAGAAAAAAATAATTGAACTATGGAAATTTGAGAGAATTTGATTGAGAATTAAGAGAAAAGTTAGGATATAATTAGTTGTGAAATAAAAATCATCAACTCATCATATTTATACCTGTTTTCTCATTTAATTAGTTTTCCAAATGTCCCCTTATAACAGAAAATAACAGCTATATATTTGGTAATTGGGAGTAAATTACAATAAATTACAGTAAATAAATAAATAAATGAT